AATTATCTTCATCTAGAGATATTAAAATATGATTCATTATGAAAAATATAAATTTAATGAATTAAAAATTTTTATATTATATACATACATACCATATACATATGTACATATGTTTTTATATGAGTGTGCTTGAGTACATGGTATATACTTGGAAATTAACAAAATAAAAATTATTTATATACATGCAAGATATTTAATATTTGAAAGTGTGTATTTAATGGACTTTAGAAACCTGTTTACTTATATAATTAAGATAATCTAAGATTAATGAAATCAAAGTAAAAAAAAAAAAAAATGATGTAAAACAAAATTAATCTAATATGACAAGAATTTATGTACAATGATATGGTTTAAGACTTTGCTAATACCATATTATTATACTGGTATATCATATTGCAATTTATTACAAGACTAAAAAATAATATTTTAAATTTTTATATTAGAAGTAGAATTAGATTATAGATTTCGTAAAAGTTTTTTATTTAAAAATTATTACTACAGTAAAATTATTTTAGAAATTGATAAAATTTATTTTTGTAGCATTTCTAACACAATTTGGTGAAAATGTGCTAATTGAAATGTAGGTCAGTCAATTCGATCGTGCGTTTTTACAAAAATTTCTTACATCATATAAGAAAGAAGCTGAAATTTTACAAAAAAAAGCAAATTTTTCTGTGAAACACTTAAGTATTTTTTTGGAATAATATTTTTAAATTCCGTTTAGGAGTTATAGCCTAAAAAAATCCTAAATATGTAATTTTGCGGACAATCCCGAAACTACAAACATATTTTAAATTTAGCAAACGCAAAAACTCATAGACTTGTTTCTTCTACTATGAAACATAATCATAAATCAAATTGTAATGACAAAAATGGCAATTAAAACCATCGCAAATTCGTTTTTTTTTCAAATTTTGGTCACTATTTTGCTTTTGGACAGTGCGTTGTACAAGTCTGTTTAGAAATTAGTAAATGGTTTATTTTGGCGAACAAAAAAGCATTTCATTTTTCCCAACTTTTTCTTTTTTATCCAAAATTGTAAGTTTTTCTCAAATTTCTGTAAAAGCAAAAAAAGACAATTCGACTGCTATGCTAATTCTCCCTTTAATTTTTGCTATCATCCTAATTATATGCAACATTCATGATACTCGATTTTGTTAACACATGAGAATGATTTATTTAAATGCAAGGATTTTCACTTGTTCATTGGAAATGTGCTACTTTACAAACTATTTTTTTTTAATCTAAGAATTTGTGTCGAGTCAAATTGTATATTAAATTTTCGTATTTATTGAAAATTTGTGATAAATTATTTTTTTTTTGTTAAAATACATTGTTGTTAAATGAATTAAACTGTTCGAATAATAATAATAATTTAAATATGTAGTTTGTATATTTATTTCTTTATTTAATTCCAAAAGTCAATTAAAATAAATTAAATACCTACATTATATTTAAAATACACAATGCTAAAAAGTCTGATATTTTTTCATATTCAAAAAACAAAAAAGCAATAAAAACTTGAAAAATTTCAAAATTATTTTTAAGTTACAAAATAAACACATTTTATATTAAGCATACCGAAACAAAAATAATATTATTATGTATAATACGTTTATAGTACATTAATTACGAACACAATATAAATAATAAATTTAAATAAAAATATTTAAAGGTCGATATTATAAATTTTACGAGAATTACTTTATGTACATATGTACAAGTAAGTAAGTATAAAAGATATTTTAATCAAGGTTTTATTTTAGAATTCAATCAGGTGATCGTTTTTTGTTCGTTTTCCTTTTTTTTTAAATAATATTCTGATTTTGATCGATTTAATATACAATATTATAATTATATATAAAAATTATGTGGGTTGTTATAATTGAGTTTTTCTTATGAAATATTTATTCTTTTGTTAAAAAATTTTATGCCGGTATTTTAATTGAACTTTTGCGACAATTACGATATATTGAATGCATTAATATAATATTAAATGTAAGTACTAGTTTAACATTTGTATAGTATGGGTAATTAAAATTAAAATTTACATATTTATGTATGTATACTCGTACACGAAATTATTTATTAGTAAATTACACACCTATACATATGGACCTTATATTTTGAGTTATTCTTTTTGTAAAATTTTAGCTGCGCATTATACGGATATTATATACGTTCAAATTGAAGAGAAGTGACTTGGTGTTATAAACTGTGACTATTTCCAAATTTGCAATATTAATTTTGTAAGTATAGTTTGTTGAAATTGACTAATACGATCTTAGAAAAGGATTTTTCTAAAAATTTAATTTTGGTAAAATTCAGGACCATATTACTCTAATATATAATTTTCCACAATAAATTTCAAATTTACACAAAAAATTTTACGTCAATGGTTGAAACATAGTTACCTTTCATTCATTTTCCTTGAATACAAACTTTGTTTGCTAATGTAATCGTGTTAAAATTGTACACATAGTTGACACTTAAAAAATATGTTCACAATTTTAGTAGAAAATGTTGTTGTTTTAAGCTCTGAGGTAAAGAGAAATTAATTCTTTTTCTAATTTTAGGAATTTCGCTGAAAAGAAAGTTATGCGACTTGGTTTGCACTGAAAAGAATATTTTACGAAATTTCTAGGATTTAAAACGAATTTTAATATTAAGAAGATACAAGTACATGTGCACTAACAATGCAAGCTTAACATACCAATTGTGCTACTTTAATTACTACATGACGCGTATATGTATACTGAAATATCAATTGGCACGTATATAATCATAGATATATTTATTATTATAATAAGTAGAGAATACAGTTATGATTTTTGCGAGTTTATGACTTACATTTTAATTTTAATTTGAAATCGAAGTTTTTCTTTTAAAACACAAGAAAGAAAATGTTAAATATTTTACGTTCGTATTATATGCATTTAAATCTACAATTCTGTTATATATCATGTACATCTGTTATATATTAAACGCATGTATAAATTAATGTTAATAATTTGACAAATTGCAATTGTAAACAGTAGACTTAAAAATTCCGTGAAAAATCTAATAAATTTTTTAAGAAAAATGTTAAGTATAAAAAGAAAAACCATGTTTTTTTTATATATATATGTATATGTGTTATATATGTACTTATACATATGTATATATTTGACTTTTAAGCAGCTTAATTTTTATAAAAATAATCGAGCATAAATTGCGAATTTTTTGTCATTAATATGCAAATTTCTCAGTTGTAGAAATCTAGTATACATTATTATATTAAGTACATTACTGTTATATAGGCCATACGTATATATAAATATGCATGTGCGATCTCAAAAAAAATTACTACTTAGGAAGTATAAGAAATATACAATATGTATATGTACAAATGTATGTACATGCAAAAATTTTAAGTTTTCGTTCTGTTATATGATCTGTAAATTCAATAATTTGTGAATTTTAAAAAATATTTATTAATATGTTGATAAATATAAGTAGCTATTATGGTACTGAAATTTTTATTTTATGTATTTTCATACATGTATAACAATATCTAAATTAAAATGGGATATTAATCTATGATTCGGAACATGGTATATACCGTAACGTTAATTTTAATTTTTTCCTAATTTTTATACTATTGTTTATGATTTATAATTTATTTAACTTAGGTATAATATAAATGAGAGAAATTTTCATACTTAAATTTCTAAAAATTGTTAAGAAAAAAATAATTATTAATTGCATGCATATTTATACAACTTAATTAATTTTATATATTGAATATATATATATATATATATATATATATATATATATATATATATATATATATTGTATATATATATATAAATATAAAAAAAATTAAATTAATTAATAAATGTGCATAAATGCATATTATTAATAATTTAAAATGCTAAGTATATTATATGCCATACATAACCTATAATGAATTTTATTAAAAATTCATTAATGCAATTAATCACATGCAATATGCATAAATTTTTTAAAAGTAGATATATATACATACATAATATCCGCATTTTCTTATGTATATACAAATATACATTATATATAAAAGCATATACGAGTACATATAACATTATTCGTATATATACATATATATATGTATCTATATATTAATATTGTAATGCATATGCATGTAAGAAATATATATTGTATACATATATTTTATAATTATAACATAATAAATTTTCATTATAATTTATTGCATTTTGCATACTTATATATTATACATATTGTAATTTCTTATTGTAAATATATGAACTTTTTTTTCATGTTTATATACATATATATTATATTAATGTATAAATATTAATATCAACCATAAATATATGTAAATGTTGATATAACACATAAGAATACATAATATACGCATGTATAACAGAATTTGTTCCCCCTTGTTTAAGAAATTCATTCAAAAAGCAAACAACACCAGGATTTATTTTTACAAATAAAGTAATACAATATAAAAATGATAAAAAAACTAAATAACAAGAATGAAATTCTTTAATTTAAAATAAATTTCTTTTACATGTATGTATATGTATACATATATATGCAAAATATATATATATATATATAATAAAAATTATGTATAAGTACACATTTAATAACTTATATATGTACTACTCGTAAGTAGCTTGTTGCGCTTCTTCGACTCAAAAATTTGTTTTTTGCCGCTTTGTTATACATATTTATGTACATACATAATATAATGCTCCATACATATTTACATACATACGTACATGGAATGTATATGCTCAAGTTTATAGCCGTCTAATAAATTTTAATTTATATATAATAAATTAATAATTTATTTGACAAAAAATATTATAATAAATAATGAACAATTTTTAATAAATCATAAATTAAATATGAATTTTTTCTATATAATAAAAACAAAAAAAATTAATAAAATATTTAATTTATTTTATTATTTATTTTATATAAATTTATAAATTTTTTAATTTACATACGATTCTTCTCGTTTTATAACAGCAATAATGTTATTCCAAATGTTAAGCATTATCCAAATTAAAAATTAACTTCTTCTTATTTTTTGCTTTATTTATTGTTATTGTTATATTTTTATTCTCTCTTTTTATAACAGTAGTATATTATGTATTTTTTATAATAAATGTATATGCATATATAAAATGGTTTATAAATATTTTTTATACTTTTAATGTTTGTTATGATAATATGCAATATGTATATAAACTTTTTTGTTTTTACTCTTTTTTTTTTATTTTGTATCTATTGTTGCTTTGTTGCTGATCGTTTATTTTTATAATAATATGTACAATATTTATGTATACACAAGTATGTATATATATATGTATACCGTTTTACTTTATTTTTACTTTTCTTTCAAATTCTGCACTCAAAATAACAAAAAAATATGTACAACAAAAAAAAAAGAAAATAAAAAAAATAGAAAGAAATAATAAAAATCATAGAAAGAAAGACAACAGAAAAGAAAAAAAAATAGTTATGTAATTTTATAATATTTATATATACATATAATTATATACATACATACAAAAAAATTTCAATTTCATTTACATATACATACATACATACACACTAGATATACGTACATATTATTATAATATTATGTATAATGCATTTTTTCAAAAAAATTTTCTCGTCTCTCAAAGACACAAAAACAAAACCCATCCAACACAAATTATTTTCTTTAAAGAAACCAAAAAATAACAAATTAAAAATTAAAAATTTCAAATAAATTTAATTTGTAAAAATTTACTTTTTATAATATCTACATACATACAAATTATGTATAATATAAAAATAAAAAATTGTAATACAAAAAAAAAAATCATCCAATTTGAAAAAAAAAATTCATGTAAAAAATGAGCACAAAATATTATTTTTATATTATTTTTGTTTTATAAATAGATATTTGTATAACAAATATATGCACATTTACATATACAAGTTTTTTCAGAATATGCACTTTATATCAAAAAAAAAAAAATTAATTAAATTTACAAAAACCAAAAAAATTACAACAATATTGCAAAAAAAAAATTTTCAATTTTGTAATTTAATATAAAAAAAAAATCAAATTGATCAAATAACAAAACTGTTATACATATGTATAATATTAATATTTAAATATATTTTATTTGAAATTAAATTCATTCACAAAAAAAAATTTTTAAAATTTTTTTTTTAAAAATATTTTAAATTAAAAATCAAAAATAATAAATGCAAAAAAAAAATTTTTTTTTTTATTATTACCGTTTATTTTTTTATTAAATTTTTAAATTTATCAATTTCATTTTTTTTTCTTTTCTTTATTTTTAAAATATCTATTTTTTTTTTGTTTTTTTAAATTTTTTTTATTTAATATTCGTTTTATTTTTAATAAAATATAGTCGTTGAAAAAAAAAATTAATAATAGTAACAATGATGAAAAAAAAAACCGTATTAATTAATTAAAATTAAAATTAAATAATTTTATGACAGAAAAAAAAAAAAAAGATTGAAATCCGCGCATACAGACAGACGGCTCTTGAGTAACTGAAAAATGTATGAGTGTTATACGCGCATTTGAAAAATGAACCTGTGCGCAATCGCATAACTTTAAAATACTTAAAAAATAAAAAATAAACAAGAAAAAAAATCAAAAAAGTATGTATAATGTTAAATGTATCTCTCAATCTCAAATTTGTATATATGTATAATTGTATGTATATTACAAATATAACACAATTTACATATACAATATATTATACAGTAATTTTGTACATATACACATTATACTTAAAACTTTATTTTTATTTCTCTACCTATTATTTACTTTTACATTATATTCTTATACATACTTATATACGCATAATATAAAAGTTTTCATATAACAATAACTATATAAAAATGTTTCAGGTTGAAAAAGTATATTTGTATTTTGTAAAGTTTTTTTTTTTTTTTAGTTTTTCTTCTTCCTTTTTGTTTGTTCTTTTTGTTTTTCTTTAATAAAAATGTTTTTGTTGTGTTGTGTTGTGTGCTTTTTAGAAAAGGTTGTGATTTAAAGAAAGAGAGAAAAAGTGTGTGTGTTTTTTTCTTATTATTATTTTTTTTTTGCTTAAATATCGTTATACAGAAGTATTCAAAGTAAAGATATCAAAAAAATAAAAAAAAAAATTATAAAAGGAAGAAAATCAAAATATGCATAAGAGTATAAAAAAAAGCAGTGATGTGGAATTATTCTTTTCTTTTGCATATATTAATTATTGTGACAAGGGTATAAAATAGAGCGTCTACCAAGTGTGAAGTTTAGTTGGCACTTATATTATAAGTAAACTGAAAATAATGAAAAGGGTGTCCGGAACTCCTATAGCAGGGTGATAGAATGGCTTCAGAGTAACAAAAACTACCAGGTGACTTTTTGTTTTTTTCGGCTCTCCATCTCAAATCAAAGCTTCAAAGTTATAATTTCTATAAAATTCAGAAAACCGTCTAACTTTTACATTTTTATTGATAACTCCAGAAATATAACAAGTAAAGCCAAATATATACTCATATTCCTGGAATGAATATAATGCAACTTTTTTTTGCCCCTTCACGATATGCAAATTTTCGTAAATTCCAAAAATTCCAAGTATGCAAAATAATATTTGTAATGGCTACAGCCACATTTTAGCAAATTATTGTCAAAACTCAAAATAACAATCTCAACAAAATTGCACTCAGTATAACACATCTCATTATATTGGGAGTTAAAAACGCCATATGGTACAAAACAAAATTTGACAGTATTGTTATACTTTCATTTTATAAGAAAATAACAGAACTGATCAAAGTAACTTGAATATAAGATTTTTTTAAGTACTGTAGGGTATCATTCATGACTAGAAATCTTAAGCTTTAATTTTATATTTAATTTTTTTTTTGTTTTATGTTGAGGTAATAGATTACTAATTTTGTAAAATAAATAATTAGTAATTTAATTTTGAATTCTTTTATAAAATTCCTTCTATTTTTTTTTTTGCATTTATTTTCTTGAAAATTTTAATTTAATACAAGTTATTGGTTTGATTTGATTTTGGTAGAAATGGAAACTGTTATACAGAAAGAGATATTGTTTTAATTATTTTGTTATTGTTATTAATACAGGGTGCTTTTTATTATTTGCTGTTGTTATAAACATTTTTATTGAATTTACCACAAAGGCTTGTTTCTAATGCTTTTTTTTAACAATTCCAATAATAATTGCTAAATAAATTAAATTATATTTTATTTCTTGTTCTATTTCAATTTATCCAAAAAAATTGTTCTCGTTTTCTATTTACTCAATTAAATTTAGATCAAAAATTTTAAGATATTCAAAATCGTTTATATTATAATTTCCATTATGCTAATATTTTTTGTCCGAAATTAAGAACAATATGAGCAAAATATATGTGCATATATAGAACATTCTAAATTATTATTCTATTTATTAGAATTTTGTTTCATAGAGATTTTAATATCCGCAATTATCATGTATTGAGAATTTACATGTGATTTCCATTTGCCATTTACGTGGTTTCCGGGGAGACAAAATTACAAATGGGTCATGAGAATAATTCTACATTTTAAACATTTTGAATTTATAAATATAATTATCACATTATTGCTATTTTCAGATTAAAATTTGACAAATTTTATTCCAAATAAATTTAAAATTGTTTATAAACTTTTGGATTGAAAAAAAAAATTATAAATAAACTCAATTATAAATTTGACTATTGCCTTTTATTTTGATTAAAATCGAACTTTAATCAATGATAATATTACAGGTAGGTCATATATTGTGTATGATAATATATATAATTTATACAATTTATTTATAAACATATATGTACGTACACATTGTTTGAAGTTGTAAAATTCGATGATTAATTATTTTGATTTTTTCTTTAAAAAATTTTGAGTTTGGCGCTATCAAATAAATTGTGATTATTAATTTGACCTTTATAAGTTTATAAAGTTATCTAATAGTATAATTAAATATTTTTTTATCGGTATAAGTAAATAAACTTTAGCCAAAAATAAATTAATTGATAATAGCTTTGTCGTCAGTATAGCACTCGATCTCAAAACTCTGTTCGTCCAATTTAATCATTTTTCAATAATGAAGCAATACAAATAAAGTTTTAAAAAGTTTTTAAAAATTTGGGCATTTAAAAGAAACATTTGGGTTCAAAAAAACCAACAACATAGCCAATTTCTCATTGTGAGTGTCAAAATCACACTATATTTTCGGAGTAAATTTCAAAATTAACTCATTCTTAACTATGAATTCGACTCTAACTATGAATTCTTAATTTGGGTTTTTGGTACTATGCATCGAAAATTCCAAATTTATTTTATTAAATTCTAAAAAAATCAAGTTTAAAATAATTACTCATCGGCATTTAATTAGAACTATAAACGATCGATTACATTATGTACCTAAATATGTAGGTTTATTCTTATATATTTTTCACCATATCACAGAATTTTATATTACACTGTACCTATAGTTGACAATTCAAAAAAGAATTAAAATTAAATTTTAGTAAAATATCGATAAGGAAGTCTAAAATTTCGATACAATTAATTTTTGGGTATAGACACATTTACACGTGCGCATATGTACAATGTAAATACCAATGTTGTTGTATAATAGTTATTTTTGCTATAAATAGATTTTTTTCTTATTTCTTTTATTTTTTTCAAAATAATTTACCATGACCCACAATTAAACTAAAAAAAAAATCGATAAAATTTAATTTATTGACCTACAATTATTATTATTTATTATTTTCATTATTATTCTTATTATTATTGTTATATCGATCTTGCATTAAAATAATTATTATCGATCTTTATAAGGAATAGAGTGGTTCTATTTTATCGATTTAATCATATATAATATGATAGTTAAATAGTGTGTGCATGCTAATTCTTAAATATACATGCTTGCTTTTTTTCAGTAATTTTGTATATAACAAAAAGAAAAATCATAATAAGTAAATGTATATTAAAATCATTATAATTTCACAACCGCACCTACAGAATGAATATTTTATATAATGCATAGTAAACAGAATATATGTATGTAGATATGTATGTATAAAATGTGCATAAAATTGTATAAATATTGTAACACTGTATAGCATTTGTACATAACATGTTAGTATTTTTATAAATGAACATGTTTTGTATAATAGTATATAACAATTTATATAAGATATTGTACGATGTCTAATATTATTATCTATTGTAGATGAGTTTGTGTATTTCAGTATAGAAAATAAAATTTAAAAACCTAAAGAAGTTTAGATGTAAAATGATGAATCCATAAAAAAAAAAACAAGATTAACATACTTACATCTTCGGAAAGCTCTTTTCTTTCTGAATGTATAGGTTAAGAAAATGTACATGCATAAGTAGTTGGATAGCGCGAGTTTAATTGAAGTAACCAAAAAATAAACCAACATTGAAGAATAACAACAACAAAAATAAGAATCTTAATAAGGAAACAGTTTTCAACAGCAGCGCGCATTTAGTTTTTTTATTTTTGTTATATTGTGTTTTTCTTTTTTTTTGTTATATTATCATCTATGATTACTCTTTTCTGTTATACTAAATTATAACTGCCAACTAAGTCTAATGTCATATGCACACACATACCAACCTACAGTAAAAAGATGTGATACTTGTTTATACCCCTCTGGTGGTCTATTTTTGCAAAAAAAAAAAGAAAAAGAAAATTTAACTTTGTATTTTTATACTTCTTGACTGGTTCTCTCTTTGGTCAAGATAATAAAAATATATAAACAAAATAAATTATTGTGAATGATTTTTTTTTATATAACAGTTGCATTTTTGAATTTGTAGCTTAACAAATTGAAAATGTATTTAAATTTATTTTTATATAATATGTATATATTTGTATATTTTCCAGTATATCAGAGTAGAACAGTGAGTATATCAGTTTGTTATTAATGTTTGTTAGCATCTTATACTTACTTTATAGTTACTCTAGTATATACGAATTTACATATATAAATACGTACAAATATATTTTTTGTTGTGAATATTTAAATGAGAAACAAAAAACAAAACTGTTTTTTTTTTATAACTTTTATATAAAATTATTTTATTAATTGAAATCCCACGCTCTTCTTAAATTTTAAACTTTTTTATAATCGGATGTGTAAAAGTTATAAGAAGTACACACCATGTGTACTTATTTAATATGTCAACACATGTGTACGTTTGTATGTACGTGTAAGTATAAGAAGTTAATCTAACCAAAGTCTTTCTTATTAGTTATAATATTTGTTTTTTTATATAGTTAAAATAATAATAATAATAATTATATAAAAGCTTTCGGGTTGTATTGATCATATTTAGAATTAAGATAAAATAAGTTCTATTTTGTTTGTCGGACACTACCTATATACACATACATATATACAAAATGTATAATTATTTATTTATTCAAAATTTTTAATTTTGAAGTTATTGAACACCACGTGTTAAAATATAAAATTAAGACATCAAACATTATTCATACATCTTGTTTAATGAGAATTATGCCTTTGGCGTTCTAGTTTTGATTTGCGTGATTTTGTTTTCTAAAATAAAGCTAGATGGCTATACGACACAAGTTGCATAATGAGTAATCTTCATAACGCAAAAATTTCAAAAACAAAAAACCATTTATGTTAAGCAAGTTATTTGCAGGATTTGACAGATGTTAATGAATTGTAGATTATTTAAATGTCACATACATTATAGGTCTTTTCAAAAAGGCAGTTTGTCGCGATATATCTAGCGAAAATACACCATGTTTATGTTCCAAAACAAATGTTACTAATCTAATTTGTTCGTAAACACGGCTAATTTTACGCAATATAGCGAAATGAGTATAAGTAGGGAAGTTAAATCTTTGAAAAATCTGATTTGGAAAATCTGCACTACTATGTTTTACTATTATGAAATATGTAGTTAAAAATATAATGCATATCTATTAACACATTATGTTTTGCAATATTACGTTTCGCAGTTATTGTTTCGCAGTATTGCGTTAATGAAAATCTCTACTATTATACATAATTTAGAGCATATGTATATATTTATAAAAATCATTACTGAAATTTGACAATTACATTTCAATGATCAATGTATATTTCCGTTATAACATCACGATATACACATATAAATTTCTTCATATAAAAACTTAATTTGGTTTTTCTTTCAAAAATTTATTTTATATGTTTTTATCATAATATTTTTAATATTTCCTAAAAAAATATAAATACAAATATACATATGTATGAATGTAATATATTATATACTGAAAAGAAAATCATAAATTCTATTTCATTTATGTATGTATGTTCGCTGCTTTTTATGTCAGACCAACTTTAAATGAAGCAAATTTTCTACTTAATTTAAATATCGACAAGGTAATCAAAATTACCTTGTTTGTTGTATTAGTTACTTGTTGTTTTAATAATTGATAAATAAGTATCAAATTCGTATTGTATTTTAGAGATAAATCGAAATATTTATTAATCGAATATTACATTAATCGAAATTTTTATTTGTCAACGCTTCTTCAAATAAATAAGGATCAAATATAGTTAAATTAACACTTAAATATGCGTATACCTGCTTAATTCTGAAATTAGAAATTATTTAAAATAAATTTCATTCCAGCTGAATTCACGGAATTAAAACGGAATTTTATAAAAATGTAACAATATTATTTTGTTTTCTATATAAAAGGAAAAATTATGTCTACTTGTTTGCTATTGCCGTGATATTATTAAATATTTATTCAAACTAAATTCTTGATGGACAATAATAAATTGACGAATTAACAACTTTATTTGTGCTTATTTTCTTCTTAAGTTGTTCCATTAGAAGCCAATTAGCTTTCTTAAATAAATGAAATCGAATTGAAGCTGCAATTGAAATAAATACTGGCAATAGCCAGTGGGAGTTTTAGGAGAACTACATGCATTATAGGGAATAAATTGTTACTTGGATCATATAATGATGGTAAATATTAACTTATTTTATGTACATATAATATTTTCGTTATATTTCATTAAAAAATTAATTTATTTCTGCACATATGTACATTTAATATAAAATACATTGTATGCCGCTATACCATAGATTGTGGATTGTAGATTCTTGCCTAGATCATCTCCCCGACACCAAAATTTCCGATGAATCTGAACAATTTTTGCGGAGAAATGTCCCACAATGACATGCATTCAAGCGATGGCCCGCCCAAGCTGTTCCTTCTCACTTAGATGAACATTTTATTTCATTAAAAAGGTGGTGCGTTTACCATATATGTATGCATATTAGTAGTATCTTTCTATGTGCAAAAAACTTATATCATCTCTTTGTAAAGAAAAACGACAATTTTTATATCAAAATATGCAAAATATTCTTAACAATTTTAATTTTTAAAAGCTACAAAAAAAAATCATTTCAATTTTGAAAATTTTAATGTGACAATATATGTATATATGCATATGTAGTATGCATAAACAAATTTCTACAGTTGAAAGCGAAAATTATATTATGTGCATTCAAAACTCTCAAACTTTTATAAATCAAGTACAAAAATAATACAAAAAATCAGCGATGCGTTTTAATAATTAAAGACAATTATAATATAAGTGTGTATCTAAATAATATTATAAATAGATTCAACGCCTTTAAATATGACTAAAAAAAGTAAGTAGAAAAAAAATATAAGATATATAAAACAACAACAAAGTTTAATAAAACTATTATATTAGGCATACACATTCATGCATACAAATTTGTATATATATACACGTTATAAGAAATAAAAAAAAAAACTTCTCCCATATTTGCTAACTTGCTTTTACCTTACTGGTTAAAAAGTGAAGGTCTTAAAAATATACTCAATAACTAAAAAAATTATTACAAAAACTGACAATACAATGAAAAGCTTTTATAAATGTATGAAAAACAAAAACAAAAAGAAACTCTTTTTTTTTTAGTCAAAAGAACAAAATCTCATATTATTTAGTAGATGCTCAGAAAAATTTACATATAATTATAATAATATATAATAGCTTATTTTGTATAATAAAATTACACAAATTATAGATATACAAGTATACATTATAAAACAAAAATTCATTACGATTTGTGCATGTGTATAGTATAACAAACTGCACGCTATAAATATCTACTAAAACTTTTATATAATTAATGTTATACAATATTAGATTCATAATTTGTTACTATTTATATTCTATGTAAGTATAGTTCATATACAGCTGATTTGAATAAGATTTTTTATGATGGTTTCGGATAGAAGAAAACCCTTTTAAAATATTACACGATTTAAAAATGACAACCACTAAAAATCGAAATGAATTAAAATGAAAATAATCCAAAATATTTACTACAAAAGCTAAAAAAAATCTATTATGTCTCCACCATCCGAGTGCCTAGTACACCCGAAAAACCTGTCTGTCCCTGAAATTTGAGGCCCTGAAATTTGTGGTCTTTTTTAATTATGCGGCATCCTTTTAGGAGAAACGTAAGAATTCTCACATGATTCCATAGAATTCTTATAATCACCTTAAACCGCTCTCAATTGTAATTGTCCAAAAATTCCTTTGTTTGTCGAAGCCCTGGAATACTAAAACGCTATAATTAATAAATACTAGAAATTAAAAATATTTACAATATATTTTATTTGAATAATTGAGGCATTAGGGATAAAGAGCTACGATTATTTAGGCAATATCAAAAATCACAATTATTTATATAATTAACAATGTGAATAGTTTCCGAAGATTTACATTATTAATTTCTAAATGATCTTATTGTATATGAAATATGAAAAAAATATTAAAATGTCCTTAAAGTATTTTTTTTTGTTTATATACTTGCAATTCCCACGAACTGTGGCGGCAAATATTTTATTTTTAGTTTTATGTCGTGTAATTCAAGATCCTTCAAAAAGCATTTTCGGATTTATAACAACAAAAAAAAAAAACTTTTATAAAATTTTTTACTTTTTAAGTAAAAATTTTTTTATCAAAAATAGTAATAGTATCAAAAAATATTTTGTATTTTTTTTTCGCTTTGCTTTTTTGTTAATGAAAATCAAAAATGTTATATTTTATAAATGAAATAAGTCACGAGCTTTCATTTAAAAACTGAGACAATTTTGTCCTTGTCTATATAAATACATAAATTCACATAATGTTTATTTTTTATTTTTTTTTTTTCTAAATTTGTAACATTTCAACCGTTTTAATTAATACCGGTTCTTCTATAAATAGAAATTTAATTAAAATTAGAAAATTCTAAAATTAAATAAATTTACAAATATTTTAATTAATTACACAAAATATAAATATTATTAATAAATCGAGCTATATCAACAAAATATATATTGCAAACTATTTAATTTATTAAAGAAACTATTATTTGTAAATTTAGGTTTAAGGACCTTATTATTTGGAAGCTATTATTTGCGTTATTACTTTCAAAATTATTTATGGTGCTTTGATATTAAACATTGTTCATGTATTTTATTTAATGAAACAAAATCGATGAATAATTTTGAAACCGTAAGAACTATAAAACTATAAAATTTGACTCTACTAGCGAACTATAAAATTTAGTTATTAAAATCAAATATGTTTTTATTATTTTTATTTCATTTCTGTTGTTTTAAAATCTATTCAATTAAATTTCAACAAAATCTGGCAATATTATATTGTATATTATTGAAAAATTGAAAATGTTGCCTTATATGAAAAGTGTTCTTTTTCAAAGGATAGGCATACGGTTCCATGGTGTAATGGTCAGCACTCTGGACTCTGAATCCAGCGATCCGAGTTCGAGTCTCGGTGGGACCTAAATTTTTTTCTCTTTTTTTTTATTAAAATAATTAATTAATCAAAAATTTTTAATAATTAACTTGCATTTAATTTAATAATGTGAAAAAAGAAATTGTTTTTATGTTTTTTATAATAAAAAAAAAGTTAAATTACAAGATTGTTCTTAAAATCAATTTTACAAAGTTGTTTGTAGGTGTTTGTTTTGTAAAATGTATTTTTTGTTTGTATTGTTATAAAATTTGCATTTGCATTATGTGCATTAAAGGATTTTTTTAAAAAATCCAATAAAGAAAAATTTTGCAAGGTCCCACCGAGACTCGAACTCGGATCGCTGGATTCAGAGTCCAGAGTGCTGACCATTACACCATGGAACCGTTAAAAGGACTCGTCTGAATATATCACAAGAGCTCCTTTGCTCTTTAATGCGCATATCCTTTTTTATATACATACTTAAAAACTGTTTTCTTGTTGCATTATCCTTAAACCTTTTTAAAACAAGAACAACAAATATAAAATACATTTTTTAATATTGGAATATATTTCATGCATTTATTTCATTTGAATAATTGAGTAGTTCTACAATAATGTTTAACATTTTTTTTTTTTGATTATGTAATTATTTATTAATTTTCAATATTAAGGATAATAACATTTAAATCTTGAATCATAAAAAATATTTATGTTGATTATAATTATTAAATTGTTTATAATGTTCATTTAAACTTTAGTTAAGTGCTGTGGAAGTTAATACCGCTACACCTCTTTCATAAAAGCTATGAGGATCTTGACCAGGTGCAACTGCTAAATCAACCGTAAAGAGCAATTCTGTGCGAGTTGAATTCAAATATACAGGAAGTGTTAGCTTGCCAGGGCGATCACTGCCAGTTCTATTTAAAAGTAAAATAATATTATGTAATATTTTTATTTAATATTGTAAAACTAATATACTTTATCCATTTTAAAACAGTAAGAGGCAGATCCATCATTATAGTTGATGTTAGAAGAAGTTGGTTGTTTTTACATTGAGCACCTTGTAATTTTAAACCTGTAACTCCAAAACTGCTGTCCTTTTTGTCCGCATCAACACCAGATTCAGTTATTGTAACTTCTAGTGCTAGCTCTTCCAAGGACCAACTGTTTGCTTGTGCTACACATTGTCGTGTGGCAGTGATGTAAGCTTCAGGGTTGAGAAGTCCACCAAGCCAAACTGGAAAGCCCTTCAATATAAAAGGAAAATTGTAGATGAAAAAAATCTTTTACACTAGATCAAATCTTTACTTGTAGTTCTTTTGCCCCAGCCTGAGATACTAATTTTGAAACCTTTTGCAATTGCTGAATCCTATTACTGAAATCTGTTATCCATTGAATTACGGTACATCCAACAGGAACCGTATACCGTTTCCACCCTTTTGGTATGATTCCTCTAACCAGATCAGCCAACATAGTGCGATGATGATTTGTTTGTTTCTTTTCGCCTTGGCAAATCAAAACTACGTCTTGTAAGTCAGATATAACTGTTTGCAATAATTTAGCTCCACTTGTAACTTCACGCTCAAAGTAGCGGTATAATGGATCCTTGATATTTTCGACAGTTCGTCTTAAGGTTGTAAGGTTTTTGGGTAATAAATCTAGCCAAGCAGTGGCACTATTATGTAAGGTTTTCATCCAAGATGGTCTACCATCTTCTTGCCGCTGAGTCATAGAATTGTCAACACTCTCATCAGTAGTGTATGCTAATTCATCATCGTCTTCGAGTTGTTGCATTTTCAAAAGTTTACTTATTAAGTCAGTTCCTCGAGTAGTTAAAAGAACCTTTTCCGCATTATTTGGCAAACCAAGCCAAGATGGTGTTTGTCTGTCAGACAAATTTTCAATCCATTTTAAGAAATGATCGCGCCTGGTTCCGTCAGGCATTGTTATATGTCTTTGACCATTTGGTCCACCTGCAACACCATCTACATTTGCAACTAAAGCAAAATCTCCCTCAAAACTACGTGCAGTGAATAATTTCGATAAGAATGATGTTAACAGACGTTGATCGAAATCATTATCAATTCTTCCTCCATAAATACTTTGAGATAGCAATGTTACCAAAGCATCCCATGGAACTTTCTCTGGTGGTAAATTTGTTCTACCCATAGCTGTAGTATCGATCCATGTGTCAAGAGTATCACAAGCGACACGCAAATCTGATTCATTAAATTCGTATTTTTTAGCCCAGCCTAAGGGTACGTATCGTAATCTTTCTTGAACTATAGCATGGAACCAGGCCAATAAGAAGTATAAGCGTGCACGTTCACTGGGTGCTTTCATCATACGTGTAGCTGGTACAGTTGAGAAAGTACGCAATAAATTAGCACGAATACCTGGGGGTGGTTCATAAACGAAAATTCTGCCAGCCCTTAACAGATTTACTGGAACTCTTGGACTTATTTCCATTGTGAGGAACAATCTAAATCCAGAATGTGGCTGCAGGGAATGTAGTTTCTTTTCTAATTGAACAAGCCATTGAGGAGCCAAATGCACATTTTTAAGTAACACCCAGCGGCCACTTTTGCAAGCTGCATTAATTGCCCGATCAGCTTGATTAAAACCTTCAGCTGAACCAATAGCAATACTTGCAACCTGCTTATTCATTTCAGCTGCCAAATCATCTACTCGACCTGACGCATCAAATCCTGGAACAGAACATAACAAAGCAGGTGTATTGCAATTAAGTTGTTTTTCGACGCACAATGCAAAATCTAATTCAGCCTCAGCTAAAGGCATAAAGTCCTCTCCAATTACTGTAGAAACAAAATTGTGTGCAGCAGCGCATACTCTGTCAGGTCTAAAAGCCTGAATTAACAAAAGTTGGTACATTGACGTTGCAACTGGAGATAATGCCTTTGACTCATCCCATAGCTGAGGAACGCATTGTTCAGGAGTTCCTTGCTGTAACCACGCTACAATTTCAGGCATTGATTTAATCTTTTCAATCAATTTACGGAAAAGTATTAAACGACTCGACAAACGGGTTATGCCTGAAATATTTATTAATTAATATATTTTAAATAAATGAAAAAGAAAAAAATTACCTTCTAATTGCTCCTGAGTCAAACCATCTACTTTATCCGAGATAGTAATCAAACCTTCTCTGCTTCTTAAGAAGAAGTTGAATTCTTGATCTAAATTGGTTTCTTGAGGGATACCTTTGAGATGTATTTTACACATCAACAGTGCAAATGTTAAACGATCATTGTGAAGCATTCCTCTTGCGACTCGTTCATAACATACTGAGAATAGCTCTTTCGTTATGATACCAAGGCGAGTGCTATAATCAGTTTTTCCTTCCAGTTTTGGATTATTATATAAAACAGTGTTGAATATATCCAAAAACATTTTCAACGAATATTGATACAAGAAATGAACTTGATTTAAGCTGTCCATGGTAAAATAAATATTACTGCAAGCAACAGAAAGTGGTAAGTACTGTTGCGACACTGTTTCAATTTCAGCAATAACTTTGTCCGTTTCATCCACTTTTTGATTTATATCGTATGCCTCCTTTTTAAGAGTTTCTAGGGTAGTTATTACTGAATCATCATCCAAAATTTTTCCTTTAGCATCATTCAACGCTTGCAATAAGCTCTTTTCCAATTGACGTAATCTTAAACGGAATTCTCCTTGAAGTTTCAATAGATCTGATCGCTTTTCATCAATGTCTGGACGTTCGGCTTTCAAAACTTGATTCAAACATTGAGATTGTAAAGAGCTTCGGGTAACTGTAAAGTTCACGAATGTTACTCGAGAGCATATGTCTGGAGGAAATTCAACAGTTGGATCACGTGTAGATAAAAATATTACGAATGATGGCGATAAATCGATATCTTGGTCTCCTAATGTTATCAAAACACGTCCGCCTGTACGACGTAACTCGCGATTTAAAACTGGATTTAATATTGGATCATAGTTTTCTACATCTTGAACCAATAACGGATTGCCAAAACGTAATGCTGATTCCAAATTTTTTCGGAATGAATCATCCAGAAAACTGGTTTTTGTAATCTTTTTCCCTGCAAATTCATTCATTATAAATTCAGTTGCCTGTCCAGAAGGATCAATAATTAACGGATATCGATTGAATCGTTTTAACATAATAGCATTTTCTGTACACAAATCATCTGAAGGAAGTGCATTAGCCTGCCAACGTAATCTTTCATCTGGATTAGATAAATATTCGGTACGCGCAATATCTGGGCGATATTGAATATTTGCAGATTGTAAATGATGACACCATGTTGAAAATAAACTGGTACGATAATGCTGATCAAAGTAACCACCTAAAAATTTGCAAAAAAGAAATAAAATTTTAATATTTTCTAAAAACTTTTAATAAATGAACTTTAAAACTAACCATAAGCTATAAAAGCAGCAGATAACAAAACATCTCCAATTATAGTTGACATTTGTGATCTGAAAGTTTCACTTGTTGCCTCCCAACGTTCTCTTTCAATATTCAAACTCTTTAGTAAAGCAATTGAACGATCCACTTTAGCTTGAACATTTTCCAAATCAGTTTTAATAGCTTGAGCTTGCGAAATCAATTGAGCGTATTCTTCTTTATAAGCAGCAATACTTTGTTCTAGTTGTGTTATCAAATCTTTAGTTTCTTGTGCGTGTTTCATATTTAATGAAGCTTGATCTTCTAAAGATTGTAATTCTTCACGCAAAGGTTCAACGCGCTTCAACATATCTGCATACTCGATCTTGAATTATAAAGTTTAATTTTTTAATATTTTATTGTAATAAGAACTGTTAGAGAATGGATGACTGCATTATATACCTGTGCTATTGCCCATTTTACCATAGGACCACAAGCCATACTTGCTCGATTAACTTTTTCGAAGTTGTAATCTGGATTACTAAGATATTTGGTCCTCATTTTTTCACGAACATCATCACTATTTTATCAAGAATATTAGATTAATTTAGTTAGGTGTTGAATATGTTATTTTGATTTATAGCAAAAATTGATTAGAGCATGCACAAAGCGTTTTTTGTTTTTTATGACTATGAATATTTAAAACAATAATCAACCAAAAACCATCATACTTAAAATTCGATTCCAACTACATTTTATAAAAAAATGATATTGTTTTAAAAATGAATTAATGGTCATAAATTTACATTATTTTTCAAAATAACTTGCTATTATAACAATGAATATTTTATAACAAATTATTAGAAAATATTATTAATCTTACGATGAAATTTTCATTTATTTTTAGATTTTATATAAATGACCTCCACACCTTGTAAGTTTTATCTTTTGAAACAAGATGATTACACTAATATTGTTATTATGTTCACATTATGTATTTAATATTATAGAAGGAAAAAGAGAAAAATTGCAACACTATGTATGTGTATACTAATTTTTTTAATGTTTTATAGCATTTTCTAAAAAAGAAGTATGTAAATTAAGATAATAGTTTTCGTTTAAAAAGAGGATGCGTGGAAGCTAAGAAATTTGTCATTCGCTAAAAGGAAGTCTTAAGGCAATATGCATAATAGAGATCCTTGAAAAAATTTATTGTACAGCAGATTGTGATATAAAATTATTGCAAAACATAAAATATTTATAGGCAAAAATTTCAGTGGAAGAACGAACAAAAATATATTTTACAAATCAATTGTTTTTCGATTATCAAAGATATTTTGTCATACAATATTTTTAGCCTTTACTAATTGATTACATATTGAAAAAAAATTCTCGTTTATTTGCATCATAAACGAAAACCTCTCAATTATCTTCATTTTTTATATAATTTTTACATTTATATGTATTTCAATTTGTATTACCATTTTATAATAATAAGTAGAAGACCACAATTTCATTTTTAATTTAAAAATGTCTACAACAAAACTATAAAAAATAGGCACTCAATTTCTAAAAATTTTCTAAAAATTGCATGCTTACGATATATCTTCAGTACTGAAGTTAGATACAATTGAATTTATAAAGTTTTCTCTCATAATAACAGCACGAATTGCTTTCCAATCAGTTGCATTTTCACCAAGTAGTAAGCATATTGATTCTAATGCTAATTTAACAGCAGCTGGAGGATTTGTCATTGAACGCACTTCAACAAGTTGTTGTTTCTTAATAGATTTTACGGCTATATTATTAAAGAAAAACATAACAAAAAAAATTTTTTTTTATTTAATGGTTTATAGTATTGTATAGTTTGATCCAGCTTTTTAATAAGCAATGATATATTTATTATAGGGTATATTTTCAGTATAAAACTTTTATTCGACAATCGCCTCATAACAAATGTATGCATATATGCATAATTCATTTTTCAATTTGATCTTTGGAGAAATTCTTTCAGGAATACGAACGATTTTTTGGTACTCTCTTAAATAAATTAAAAAAAAAAAAAAAAATTTATTACAAAAATAATGGGCAAGCCTATAAATCTACCATTCGAGTCTAGTTAAATATAATCTTTAGATATGTTGAATATGTATGTATATAAATTCAATTATATATAATAGTTTCTAAAGGAATTTAACACTAGTAAAAAGAGAATAAATTTAAAAATTTATCGAATGATTTAAAAATATTATTTTGCATGTAAAAATCAAATATTCAGGAATAAAAATTTAACAAAACACAACGTTGAAGTGGGCTTATCTAAATATAAAATAAAAAAAAAAAATTAACGTGAAAATTAGATATTGAGGGGAGCTACATTCTTTTTTTGTGGAAAATCTTTGCTTTTCTTAATTACACTTTCTTTAAATGTATAAAAATATGTATGGACAACATAATTTTTTAAATTAATTCAGTTTTACCGAATTTTTTATATCCAATTTAATAAGTGCTCAATATCTTAAACAATAATAATAATAGTATAAAAGTTGTGCGCAAATTGCTGATATTTACAATCTAATATAAGTGAAGTATAATAATATTGTTAGTTACATTGATTGATTACAAAATGAATTTAATTTGAATTATTTCTTTATGCGGAATAAATTTGGTAAAATAATCATGGATTTTTGTTAATAGGCTTAACAAAGATGCTATTTGAAATGCTTAAATTATGTAATTTTATGAGTATAATTTAAAAGTACTCTAAATGAAATATAATCAGTATTCAGTATATACTTATTCAGTTGTAGAATTCATACCTCAAATACTATGAACAGAAAAGCATTTGTCTTCTATCTTATAAAATAATTTGAAACAGTTACATAACTTCTTGAGTCTTTTAAACAGGTTGGTCAAAACAAGAGTTTTGAAAAAAATTTTGTTAAACTTTTAATTTAGATTGTACGATCATTTTACCAAACTGATCTTGCATAAAAATTAATTTTGAATCATATTAGTCTTGATAGCAAATATTTATATAGTTTCCCAACATTAAATTAGTTCTTAGCAAAAAAAAAAAAAATAAAAAAAAAGTAGTATTTTCTTTACCCAATAAAATGAAATGATATCAAGATGTAAATTTTAAAATAAAAATTGAAACTTCAATATTATTCTTTTCTAAAATAAAACCAGAAAGCATAAGATGATTATGGTATAAAGCATTTCTTTCATATTAAAATATAAATACTTTTTTTTAATTTTGGATTAGTCACATTCTTCCATAAATAATTAAAAATTGAAATCGAACTTGTTATATTACAAAAAAAAAAAAAAAAAAAAAAAGAGAAGAACAAAATCGTACGTTATGTCCTCTGTTTTTAAATTAACAATGGATGGGATAAAGCTGTCTTTGACAATTATTTGACGAATTGCTTTCCAATCGGTAGTGCTTTCATTTAATAATTCGCAAACAGATTCTAAAGCTAATTTCACTGGTGCTGGCGGATTGGCCATTGATCGAACTTCGGCCAAATGATTCTTTTTTATAGATTTAACAGCTAGGTAATTATAAATTATTAATATATATATATATGAAAGTAAAACATAACTAATATTTTAGTAATTTAAAAAAAAACTAAATAAACAAACACTGTAATCATACCATTTTGAGCTTCAATAACAGCGGGTTCTACAAGAGCTAAGTCGGCCATAACATCTTTCCGTTTTTGTTCAATTTTCACGGTTTGTTCAGCTAATTGAATTTGAATTTCTTGTGATTGAACCTTTTTCTTTTCGGCTTCTTGTTGATCTTTAAACATTTGTTTTAATTTTGCGTTAGCTGCTTCATTTTTAGCTTGTAATTCTTGTGATTTTACAGCAAGTGATTTTTGCATTTCTTCAACCTAAAATAAATTAAGTTTCTTAATTTTTATGGTCCTAATTCTATTATTTATAAACTAACTTGTTCAACAGTTTCTGCGATTTTGTTTAAGCCAACATTTAAATGCAATTGTTGTTCTTCTAGATCACTTCGTTTTTCAGAATATAATTTTACAAAATGATGTATGAAATCTAAGTAATGACGTGGAGTTATAGCCATTGTCCGTCCGCCTCGTTTTGCGAGTCTTGCGTTTGCCTGATGTAATGTTTGATGCACATAGACAAAACCATTAATAACTGCATCACGATGAGATGGATTTGCCGGTATTAAATTACAAGCAGATGGGAAGAAATCAGGTGCTGGCCAATTAGGTTTTTCCAAATCAACACGAATGGTAAATTCCTTGCCAACTTGAAATAGAGCAGAATCAGACCAATCTCCAAACCAGTTAAGAACGCAACGATTAAACAAAGCAGGCGAAGTAGCAGCACGATCCTTTAATCCATCAGTTGAAGGATTCATTGTAAAAACTACGTGAAGATTTTTCATAACTTGTTGGGTAAACCATTTATATAATTCGTCATTTGAATCTAACATTAAACCTTCACGTTGTGCACCTTCTTTGCATTGTGTCATAAGTGTAGTATATTCATCACCTTCGAACAAGCCCGGAACCTAAACCAAATATTTTCTAAATTTATATATATTCAATAAAATAAAATAAATTACTTCTCCGTTAGCGAGTAAAGTATTCATTCTTTCTAAGAATCCGGAATCTAGGACATTAGACTCGTCCAAAATAAAAGCAATTTTCTCATCTTTACAACCTGATCGCCTTAGAACACATCGTAAATCCTCATCAAAATCTTCACTTGTATATTTGTTGTGGACCTATAATAAACAGATCAAATAAAATTTTTTTTAGACTTAATGAATAAATTTCAAACCTTAATTTGGAAAATGGAGAGCCCATTCATCCAAGCAACAAATCTCGACAAAGTTGTTTTACCAGCACCAGAAACGCCTATCAATAGCAAATGGCCTTGTGGTTGACGGAAAATTCTGTCGATTCTCAATACGTGATCTAAAACTTCATCGAATAATACAAGTGGTACATCTAATTCTTCTTCATAGAAAACTTTTAATCTAGCACGAACGTAATCTCTCAATTCCTCTCTATTTACGGGCATATAATCTTTAGACAACCAATTACTGTAAAGGATGGGTCTAATTAGTGCTTTTTCTGAATCTGCTCCAGGGAAGTGTTTCATAGCAACAACATCTATGTTATCATTTGTCCAGCGTCTTTCGGAATCTTCCACCAAACGATCTTGGAAAAGTCTCAATGCTTCATGTGCCCACAGGCGAACCAATCCTTCAACAGACAAATTATCCAATGGGCGAATAGCTTCACAGATTCCACGAACCCATCTTGTCATTTCACGAGGTGAATAAACGTAATGTGGTTGCATATCTTGTGTAAAGCGATCTTGTGAAGCTAAATAAAATTCTACCATTGCGTTAGTTAAAGGCTCTGCATAACCTCGCAACGCTGGCATTAAACGCAACATGGCACGGCTAAATGTTCCATAAATTTGTTTAAGTGATGTTTCACCTGGATAATCGACATAAATTATTGGCACGTGTCTTAAGAATCGATGACTTAAAGGCTTTCTTCCTGGATCTGTTGGTGGATTACATGCTCCAACAAACTGTATACGTTCCAAACTTACCCATGCTTGGTCACTATAGCGATAAAAACCTTTATGTTCAACAAGTTGTCTCAAGAATGATATAACTCTCTGAGTTCCGTAAGCATCCATATCTGGTAAGTTAATTTCATCGCAAAATAGAACTAACCATTTTCCAATTTGAACAGGTGATAAAACTACTCCATTTGGAGTTTTTCGATATTCGCAATAATGATCGAAAGTTTTAAGTAAAAGTTCAGGTGTTGTTGCCGATGAAAAATTTAAACCAACAACCTCCATATCAGGCAAAGCTCTTAATGCGGAGAACAAAGTCATTGTTTTGCCAGATCCAGGCGGCCCACAAAGTACTATAAAAATATTTTTTTGTTAAGTGATATGACACAATCTCAATTATTACCTAATGGTTTATGTTCAGCTAACCAAGTATAAAGCAACGATTCATGTCTAACTGTGTCCAAAGTTGGCACAACTACATCTGGCGCAGCCACTTTGTGTGTTTCAACTTCTATTACAGGAACTTTATTTGACCATGGTACCCACTCTCCAGACATATTTACTTCAAAGTCGATAATTGGTACTCCAATAGTTCCAGGTAATTGCACTGTAGTTGCACTTCGTATAAAATCTCCCAAATCACTACGAACTTTTAGTTTAGCATCACCAGCGAATGACCATAACAACGAATAAATTAATGCTTTAGGTATATATTGCTCCATTTGCTCTGGTGATATAGGAAAATCTGGATGTTGCGAATTGAAATTTAAAATATTTCTGGCACATTGATTCAACATAGAAAATAAAGAACTGAGTGCTCTTAACCGCGTGAAATCCATAATATGTTCTTGTTCCATTGCATATTCTAAACAACGAACTACAACTCCATCAGATGAAAAATATGGTTGCATAAGAGCTGCAATTTCACGTTGAGTCTGTAATGCTGGTGATATTTCCTCTTCTTTTTCTGTTGAACTTTTAATACCACTGGCCCCAATGAAATCTTCATCAGTATCTTCCAATGGAATGTGACGCAAACGCGATAAATAATTTTCAAAGATCATTTCAGTTGATAAAACATCTTCAGAAAACCATACCATGCCACAACGGGAAACGGTTGCTAACGTAGCGTACTTTAAATCTTGAACTTCAAACATAACACGAACATTTGGTGGCAATGATAAACGTTCTCCGTTTGGTAAAGTAAGCAATTTATTATCATCAAGTACTGAATTCAAATTTTCAACCCATTCCGGATCTACATCGCCGTCAAATATAATCCATTGACGTTTATTTATTTCTCCCCTCACATTATCGATTATTTTACGCAAAATATGTGTAAATAGACCATCAGTCCATTCACGAGTATTTGGATCAAGCACACCATACAAAGCTTCTTTAGATATTGCTTTTGGATCTATTACATGTGCAACACCCTCTGTACCTTCATATCTCTCTAGAGCTTTAAGCAATACTCGCCAAGCGGTGGATTTTCCCGATCCTGAAGGACCGACCATCATCAAACCATGATTTAAGTTTGATATTTGATACAGTTGTAACACCTTTTAAAAAATTTAATAATTATGAAAGTTAATAAAAAATATGTATACATTAAAAAATTTAGACAAATACCAAAAAAAAACATGAAATAGTTTGCAAGTACATCTTAATTCAAAAATAATATTTAATAATTAAGTAATCTTCAGAAGATATTCTAAAAAAATAATATTAAATACATTACGAACTAATACATTTCATTCCAGTAAAAAATAATGGCTAATTTTGAACTAAAGACGATTTAGAGTCAACAAAACGTAATAAATTATAGAAACAACAATGGAAGCTAAGGTTATAATTAATCAGTTTTCTTACTTTTTCTACCCAGGTTTCTCCGAATCCCTTAGGGTGTTACAAAAATACGTGTGGATTAGCATAAAACTAAACATTAACCTACTGATCTTCAGTTTTTTATTTAAAAAAATTACCTTTTCCATCCAAGCGTTCCCTTGCTCATCACCTTCACCGCATACTAGATACTCCTCACCGCAAACTTTACGTATTTCATCTTTCAAGCCTTTCATTTCTGCTCGAGTGTAGCCAACATTCGGGAAAACATCATTTAACAAAGAGAATAGTAGCGGTATGTCTTCGGCTACCAATTTCGGGACCATTGTTTCACATACCGATTGAATTAATATTTCTTGTTCTGGTAAATTTTCAGCAATAGAAGCCTCATCAATATTCTCTTCTCCGCGTTGGCTCATATTTTCCTTAATTTTTTGAATACGGTCACGTTTTACGTTACCTGCGCTTACAAGTACTGACTTTAAGGCTCTTAAACCGAAGTCATAATGCGATTGGTTCGACAATTGTTCATCACATAGTTTAAAGAATGGAACAATTTTGCATGCAAGTTTCTCTGCTGATCTGAAGCCTTGACTGAATAACATTACCTCTGCAATAAGTTGTCGATCTGGTGTGGTCATTGCAAGAGAACGGAATAATTTTTTCAAATTGTCTGGCAAATTAGAACGACCCGCGTAACCAGGGTTCATTGTAATAAATATAGCCATATCGGTTGACACCCGAACTTGTTTGCCAACAAGTTCCACAGATATGCTTTCTTTATTATTATCTTGTTGTGATTTTAATGCTTCTTGGATTGTTTGAATTTGCTGAGAGCAAGCAGATAACATACGTTCTTCTAAACGATTAAATTCATCGAAACATCCCCACGCTCCTACCTGACATAGACCAACAAATATTCTTCCCATAGCTTGGAAATCAAATGTTTCATCGCAATTAAATACAAGGACAAAACGTCCCAGCTGATTACCCAAAGCTTTTACAGATTCTGTTTTTCCAGTGCCTGCAGGTCCAAAAGGTGAACCACCTAAACGGGATTCTAATGCTTGGGTCATAGTTAAATAACACCGATCAGTTAAAGGAGTTTGAACCAATCTATCTTGGACACCCAGGTACTCAAATCCATAGAAGAAACGCGCATTTGCCATATGAATTGTTAGTTGTTGAAGAACTTCGGTTTGCCTTGGATCAAAATAAAAACGCATTTCGCATAACCACTGGAAAGATTTTGGTGATGTTACGCCATTAGATATTAGGCGACGAGTGACAGTTCTCTTATGAACAAATTCGTTGATCAAATGTTCGAGCTTACGACGACGTAAAGGAGGTTGTTCTTGTAGAACGGAATCTGCAAGAACGTTTAAAGTTTTTTCCACTGTCGTCAATACTCGATTTAAAGGTTTGCTGTTTGCATTGTCAGAGGCTTGTTGTAGAGCTGTTTCCACGTCTTCAGACCATAAAATTTGAGCAGCCAATACTACAATTTGAGCCTGATATTTATCGCACCATTCCATATACTTTTGTGGATCAATCGCACCATCTCTAAACTGTTTAATATCTTGAACAGCTTGAGCTAAATAAGAAGCTAATGAGAACCTCATTTCTTTCTCAACAAGTGTCAACCATTCATTAATTTTCGGGTGTTCTACAGTGTTAACGGGACGAATAAATTTAACTTCTTCACCTTCCCTAGAAGCAATACCTAAAAAACGTAAAGTGTTATAAAACATAAATGTGTGTAGTTCGTAAGTCGAAAAAATTACCTTGAATTATTGTGTTATCTTCATTTAATATTATTGCAGCAACGCCAGCAAACATTTTTTTGAAATGTTTTTGCAAACGAGCAACATTCTTGCTATTACCAATAATTTCCAACAAATCTTCGTCGCCAACGAAGTAAAAACGAGGAAATGATGTTCTTTCACGTTCAAGATATTCACCCAAAGCTTTCTGTATTTTACCGAGCAAATCTGCTAATCTTTCGAGTGATCTTTGAACAGCAGGAATATTTAAAACATCCATAACTTTAGGTGATTTAGTAACTTTTTTCATTAAACCCAAAAATTCCGAACTGATACTTTGAAAGCGGGAGGTCTCAACAGGCAATAATGTTTTGATATCCGCGCTTCCAGAAAATATGCCTTCTAAATAAACCCAACGTCGCTGAACGTCAATCCAAACATCGAATAAAGCATTAATTCTATTTAATTTTTCCTCCCATGTTAATGCTTCTTCTTCAAATACTTTGTAGTACGGAGAAAGTTTCATTGCAGCAACAGAATTAATATGCTCTTTAACCTTGTTAAAAAGATCATCCCAACCACGAATTATACGGCATTTATTTTGATAATTTATAAGATCCAATTCATAACTTTGCCAAGATTCTCGCACTTGTTTTAAAAATTCTTCTAAGGCCATTTCACCTTGTGCAACTAATATTATGTCTTTCACAATCGATTCATTTTTCAAAAGATTTACATCCCAGACTTGACCTAACGTTAAATCTGAAATGATCCAATTGACTTTCAATTGTTTTGTAAGTTGTTTCCAATGTCGTTCTTTGAGAGCGTCAGACTTTAATTCGACAATTAGCATATTTACTTTGATGTAGCTTTGAATTAATTTTTTCACATATTCATAGCTTTCATACATACGCAAACGAGCAGGGAGCTCTTTCAATTGTGTCATCATAGATTCCAATTGTTGACGAAGTTTGCGAGGTTGAACGGAAAGCCATGGTTTTTCACGTGTCTCATCAATTTGAGTCCATACTTTAGATAGTTCACTCCAAACTCCACGTAAATCTTGAAGTTCTTCCAATACAACATTCATTCTTTCCGAGCTGTTATTTTGAATAGCTGATTCTTGTAACTCCAATGCTTCTTTAGCTTTGGCGACATTATCCCTTTCTTCCTTCAATCTTGAATATTTGCTTTCAAATAATTGTAAATGTTGCAAAGCGTCATCTGGTCGAATTTTTCCACCGACTGGTTTATTTTTCTCCCAATCGTTTAGGAAGTCCAGAGTCCTATTTTCAACTGCTTTATCCTCAGCAACGATCTTAGCTTGTAAACTCGCTACTTGAGTTTGAATAGCAGAATCCTTACGTTTCATAATTTCGTTAAATGCTGACCATTCACCTTCAATGTTATCAACATGAAGCCAAGAATTAGGAAATTGGAAGCGTTGTCTTTCCAAAATTCTTTGAGCTTCACGGAAAACTTCGACCTGTTTGTCCCATACTAACATGTCTTTTTTCAAAGCTTGAACATATGTGATAAAACTTACTGCGTCTGAAGTACTTGCCGCCTCAATACTCTGCATTTCCAAATCATTTCTTGATTTTGAAACTTTAGAATGGAATGTTGTCATTTCTGTACCCAAAAGAGTTCCGAATTTGCCTAAGGCCTCTTTATGCCATGAATCATACTTCAAAGTAACCTTAGCTTGAACTTTTGCGTAATCGATGATAATAGGTCCGTAAGCCCTACGGGTGTCAGAATTGTCAAATGTAGTTCGAGATTTTTTGATATCGTTCAAACACTTTATCCATAAATTAACATCCTCACCCAAACGACCATACAAAATGTCTGGTTGCAAGTCCCACAAACTTTGATAACGTAACCATTCATCTACATAATTATGAACTTCATTAATTTTATTTTCTATCGCTTCGTATGCATGTTCTAATGTATCGGAACCTGCTGGTAATTTAGTCAACAGGTTGCGATAAGTTTGTAGCACTGGTTTATCTAAACCAACTTGATAACGAGAGCTTTGTAAACGTGTTTGAGATGTTACAATTGCTTCCCAAGCGAATAGTTGCTGAGTAATTTGGAATCTTGCTTCCTCAATTGATGGGTATAAATACATTTGTTGATTCGTAATACGAATTTCATGGATTGTATTTTGAATGTGTGGCTCACCACCCGGCTTGTGAGTTGGTTGAGCTGGAGCATCAGTGTCCATTGATAGATCAATTTCCTTTTTATTTCCAGTTAAAGCATCAGTCCACGCTTGTACACCATGCTGTAATCGTGCCGCTAACTTTTTCTCAACTTCTTCATCTAATCGTTGTACCCATACATGTAAATTTGAATATTGACGCAAAGATAAATCATCAACAGCATGTTGAATTTTTGATAAAATATCAGCAAATGTTGCAGCACTATATGGACATGTTTCTAATGATCTTACATCAACATCCAATTGTTCTTCAACAACAAGTAAATCTTCAACCTTTTTTTTTTAAATAAATTTTAGTATTTATGCATCATAATAAGCAGACATAAATTTTACGAATGTACCTTTTCCTGGAACTGAGTGACACATTCTGATAAGCGTTGAACATATGGATCCAATTTGAAACTTTCCCAAACTAAACCAATTCCTTCTGCAACCAATCCCAAAACGTCTTTGCGTAATCCGGCTACCAAGGGGACTATACTTGCTCGCTCTTCAATCTAAGTGAAATAATACAAAGAAGAAGTCTAAGTTATGGAAACTTGCAAAATTTACATCTTAAAATATTATTTTCCAAAAAAAAATTTGTTTTTGCACAAAACATATTTAATTGATTTAAAAATTATACATTTACGAACTATTTATATATGATTTTATTTTTGAAATAACACTATATGAAACACTATAACAGTTTTTGTTAATAATCTACCTTGAATGTTGAATTTTGTGCTAGAGTCCTATTGTTATTTAGCTGCATAAAAAATTCAAAGTTTATGTTTTTATAAAAAAATATTTTTATGACAAAATAAAACATAAAATTTTATAGAAGCTCAAAACAGAATGCTAAAATCATAGTTAAATTAATAATAATAAAGCGAATTTTTCAATTTTGAAACCAAGGAATAAAAATTTGTAAATTTTTGAAAGTGTAATTTTCTTTATTTTGTATTACTTTGGTTTATTCTTTTTTTAAGTTTTGTAATGTTAAGGTTTGAATGACAGTGTAACTACTTAAAATATATTAAATTTTTTATTTTTGTAATAATATTCGACATTAAAATTTCACAAGGTAAAATTTCGAAAACTTGTACCAGTGTTTCGATAAATGGAAATTTTATCGGTCATGGTTCTACAATAAAAATAAGTGGTTCAGGATTATTTTAAATTGTGAAAAGTTTATTTTTATTAAAAAATTACTGATTTGAATTCCTACAATCCAATTTGGTTGAAAATGTATTTGAATTTTTGATGCAATCAAGTTAGTAACGATTATAAGCAGAAATTTTTGTGCTAACGAAAAGAAGTAGTTTCGGATTTGTGCAACAAAAACCTTTTTATCAACTTATTTCAAGTAATTTATGTATGAAGAAAACATGAACAAAATCCATTTTTTACATTTTTTATAAAAATTTCAAATAAATAACTTCATAGAACGTTATTCTATCGATTTTAAATTACGCACACTTATCACATTGCTAATAATGCAAGTTCTACAAAACTTAGGGCTAACATCATTATTAGTTTATTCTAAAATTCTAAATATTTTAGCAAAAATAATTGTGATTGTGATTCACTACAAAAATTTCCCTTTAAATATTCCTAAATACATACAATGAAATTGAAAATTTGTTATTTATATTTATTCTATTCTAGGACAATAGAAATTCAAAATTAAAATACACATAAATATAATATTAAAATTTGTTTAGCATATTTTAGTTGAATAACGACACACACAAACATTTAATTTCCTGGTCATATAAGTAAACTTAAGATTTATGTAAATTTTCAATTGTTATTCAAAAATAAATATAATATATAAAACAATTTAAATAATAAAATATAGCAAAAATAAAAACATTTGCAAAATGTGTTCGTATTGAATTTTAAAATAAAAGTGAAACAAAAATGTATTTTACATAAATTTATAATTTATCTAATTTTGCATAAGATATTAAGATTCTTAAAATAAAATACATATATACATATATTTTGATATTCACCTTTTCTAAAGTTCTCTCATAAGTCCTTACACTTTCAATCAAAGATATAGCATAAGGATATATTTGATTAGCTTGATGTGCTTTATTTACGATTGCCAATGGCACACGGAAACCCAAATTCTTAATATTTCTTACTTCTTTAGACAATGTTATTATTTCAGGTAAGAAATTGACACGTAATTTCAAAATGCTTCCGCGTCCAATACGAGATCTAAAATTTTTAAATTACAATAACTAAATAAAGAGATTTCTTAATAAAATAAATTATTACCTTGCTGGTTCAATTGTAAATATTCTACCATTATTTCCAAAATTACGTTCTTGTACTTTTCTTGCCCAATCTTGAAAAACTTCTGAAATTGAAAGCTTAGCTCGAAAACTATCTCCATCAGCTTTTAATTTCTGCCCATCAATATGAGTTTCCCATCCTTTTCCGAGAACATCTTCTACACGTTTCAAATACATTGTCAATTGATTATCAATTTGCCTTGCCCAAATAATAGATCCAGCGACTGGTGGTAAATCACGAACTACAGAAAGACGATAACTTTTGCTTTGTGGGTATTGAATCTAAAATTTATATCAAAGTTAAAAAATTTTGTATAATTCTACAAATTTTATTCATTGGCATACCTTGAATTTCTCATGTAGAGCTTCAATATCATCTTTGACACGTTGAATCAATTGCGTTTGATATTCACGGATAGCGCCACGAATATGTGGTCGAACAAATAATGCATTAAATCTGGAGAAAATTCTAAACATTTCATTTGCATTCTTTGCGGTTCCAAGTTGGTCGCGAAGATGAGCAGTAATTCGTGTTTCAACTCGATCTATTTAGCAAATATAAGATATTGAAAATTTGGATATCTTGACAAATTTTCTCAAATGTTTACCTATCCTTTCTTCATATCTTTTGACAGCAGCATCCCAAGCTTCGGACCCTTCTTTAGATATATCCAAACACTCAACCTCTTTAACATTTTCATATGCGAGATTTACTTCTTCAATTGCATTTGAATCTGTTGTATCTAAACTATATGGTTGTTTAGATTCTGCTGGTTCATCTTCAACCTGACCAGTGTTTTGATTTTTTGATGGTCGTAAAACGCGCAAAATTACAGTTCTGAGTTGTTCGTGATGGCGTCTGAATTTTCTCATATGTTCCATGCGGGCTTGCAGTTTTTTATGAGCAGGAGATACTCTCCAAACCATTTTCAAATGTTCATCTCTCTTCTTTTTAACAATGTCTCTTAATAAACCTTGCAATTTATCATATTCGTCGTCCCAGCATCCAAATATTTCAAAGCATTGGCTCATTACTTTTTCAAATTCATCGAATGGAATATGCATTAAGCGTCTTGTTCCAAGAACTTTGAGAAGCTGTTGGCTTAAATCTCTTGAAATTGCTTCAATTAATTTCAATGCTCGCTGAATTGGATATTTAGTACTGCGTACTTTTCTTAAATGGGAGAATATAAGCTGTACTGCTGGACGAATTTTTTCCAATTCAGTAGCTGATAACAAATCATTTATTGGAAAATCTTTCATCAATGGATTATAATCGGCAACCATTGCAAGAGCTTGTTTTAATCCAGTATCAGTATCAAAACTTACAGTTGCATGAAACCGTTTACCATGTTTCAATATATCCAAAGTTAGAGCAACTTCTGGTGATTCACGTTTTTCTTGAATACGATAAAGAGCCCGTTCAAGATTTAACCAAAATGATATTTCTTGTAATGCTGTTCCTGATGATGGATCACGATCTAATTTTGTTACTTTCTTTATTTCTTTAATCCATCTATTAACACCATTATGTAATGCATTAAGAAAACTTGAATCTTCAACCTTTTCACCAAAATCGGAAACTTTTGCTTTACGTCCTTCATCATTACATTGTTTAATAACGCTCTGTACTAATGGATGAGCTGTTAATGTAATTTCTGGTATATCGATATTCTGTTGTAAATGTAAAAGTCCCATCTCTAATTCTGTTAATTTTTTTTCAACTGATGGAGCCATTTTATCTCCATCTCTATCAGCTCGACCAGATTCTTTTACATAACTTTTAAAGTATGGTGCCAAAGATTTACTTATGAAAGCATGTAAAGTTTCAAATGGAGAACCTTCAGAAAATGTTATAAAACGAATTTGTGAATGAATTGATTTATCTGCTTCAATAACTAGTCCACGTTTAATACAAGCCAAAGATGCCATTCGGCTATTAGTAAATTGAACTTCATTACTAACATAATAAGTAACATTATCCTTTTCTTCTTCACCTTCAGATGGTTGATCGCTCTCATCTTCTATGAATTATTGAATATTAGATTCAATTCAAATTCAAATATTATTATATTTAATAAATTTAATGAAAATTCACAAAAATTAATGGAAAATCATAAAATATGCATAAAATTTTAAATTTTCTTAATTTTAAATTTTAAATAATGCGGCCTTCTTAACCTAAACATTTTATTTAATTCAAAAGAAATTCATTTATAATTTAATTTTAATATTTAATTAGGACAATATTTTGCATTCTATATTCTATACCTAATCGAAATTCAAATTTTAATTTTAAAAAACTAAACTGCGCATCTAAAACATGCGAATCTCATACATATGTAAAAATCAGCAGTCTTTCTTAAATACTATTTTATAACGGGGGAAAATATAAAGACTCCTTTATAAAAGATTCATCCGTTGATTAAGCATAATAATGTAAATTTGATATAATTTGCTCAATAACGATCCTTGACATCAAATTTCAAAACATCTACATATACTCACAGAATTTAAATAACAAAAAAGAAAAAAAAAAATCTTTTCTCTTATGATTCAAAATTCGAATTCAAATTCAAAAATTATTCTTTAATAATTTGTCATAATTTTTGGACATGGTTCGTTTTTTTTTTAATTCAATTTAATTGAAAATGAATAGGCATTATTATTTATTAAGACAAATAACAAGAGTTTTTGAAAGTAAAATTTCAATGGGGAAAAGCAAAAAGCAAACAGCAAAATGTTAATGAAAGAACATTTTGCCTCTTTTTTTTAAAAAAAAAAATAATGATGATGATAACATTATGTTTTATCACTATCAAAAGTTCACAGGTCACTTATAATTGAGTACGAAATAAGATTTTTCATACGAATATGATCATCTGTATGAATCTCTACATATGTGTGTATCAATCAAGAAAAATTAGGAATAAATTATGAAAGCAATGTTTTAAAAATAAACTAAAATAAAATAAATTGACTTACTATCCAGGCAATGACATTTTCCATTAATATGCAAATCAAAAATTATCGTAAATTTCAATGATTTTTTGAAATTTGACAGATTGATTTAAATGAATTTGATTTGATCTTGCGATTTGACAAATTTAATTGATGGATCGAGATCAATTGCATATCAGAAAAAAAAAATTATGAGAAATGAACTTTTTGAATCGAAAAAAATATGACAATAAAGAAGATTGGTTTGACACGCTACTCATTAAAAATTTAAAGACGCTCTTCTAAATGCTTCAGAAATTACAACATTTCATTTAATTACCGACCACATTGCATACAATAAGGGATGTGATGTGATAACACCAAATTTCGCATATCAAGTTTACAATTGAAAATCACTTCTCCGTCGTATGAAAGTGGAAATAAAATATTTTTAACTGGATGTCGGTCTGTCGGACTGTGTACGCGTATAATTCCATTTCGTCTGAACCGGTTCTGATAAAAATTTGTATATGGATTTACATTAACTATGTCACATATATTATGTGACATTAAGCTATTTGGTTATGTGAGGCCGCGGGAGTTGTACTTTTTTACCAGCCGATTTTGCAAACTTCATCATTTTTAAGAAGATATTCAGCAGATTAAATTGAAATTTGACACATAAGCTTCGTTTGATAGTACAAAAAAAACACCTAACTTTAGGAAAAATTCAGGTGTCCGCAACTGGAATTTTATTACCGGCCAAACTTAGATTTTTGCGAATATAAAGAGAAATACACAACCAATTTTCTTGAAATTTAATTATTAAATTGAGGATGTTAAAACAATGAAACCATTATTTAAAATAGTTTCTTAAAACCATTATTCAAAATTTTTGGAATATCTGGTCTCGGAATCTGAACTAGAGGCCGATTTTACATTTTTTATCATATCTAAAAAATTATATGTCGCAATTTTTTAAATTTGATATTTGAATTCTTTATATTGAAACTAACTGGAGAACTATTCAGGAAATTCGTATGACAAATTCAGGAAATTCGTTCGTGAACGTCTACAAAGATTCAAATTTACATTTTTATAGGTATGTTTCAACTAAAAGTTTCCTAGCATCTTTGAAATTTGAAAGAATGATTAAAAAGGCTTTTTCATAATATTGTGCAAAATTTTTGTTAAACTAGCCAATACACATTGCGGTCGATTATGCGCTGACCACATCATTTTTTTTTTCATGGTTTCTTATTACATACATCAATAATCATGCAAAGTAAATTATATATACACATAATTACAAACATTTTTATTTATATGATGTAAAATGTATGTAGTTTTCATTTTTCTCTTTAATGTAGCAAAAAAAAAAAAAGAATATATTCTGTCAGACGTCGAGCGCGTATCATAAACAAACAACGGAACTTAAAAAAGACGAGAATAAAAAAAAAATTACAAAAAGATTAAAATATTGAATTTTGATTCTTGGCTCAAATTATTTTGATATCAAATCATTTAAGAAACTCGGTTTCTTTCTTTGATTCGTTCAAGTATTTATGTTGCGATTTTAAGAAAACAAAAAATTTTAAGAATAAAAAATTTAACTAAAATTTACAAAAAATGTTTCGAATATGGTTTTTAATTACACTGATATCGTTAAGTTATGTAAGAAGTTGTCCTAGAGCTCCATCAGCACCACATGGTCGTAGAACTAGAGGTGATAATTTTTACAAATTAATATTGGGTGATAATCCTAGTGGATATGAACCAGGAAAAACTTATAATTGTAAGTCGATTTTTTTTTTTTAATTGTGTAGTTACAATAAGAAAATTAAAAATAGGAAATTATTGTTTCAATTATTTTCTATTTTATTGATAACATAATTTTATTTCCCTATTGTAAAAGATAATATATATGTATATTTGTGTATGAGTATAAGTATGATTTTCTTTATAAATATAAGATGTTCATTGATTGTATTACAATACAGAGTGTGTAATAATTGAATTTCTTATCACTGTAAAGGAAAGTTAATTTTTATCATAAAATCATAACCTCTTTATATTTAAAAATATGATGTGTGCTTAATGGATTATCGAAATCAAAATTTAATATTAATTTTTAAAATGAATAACAAATTCATAAATTATAAAAAATTATCGTTATAATTTCAATATTTTAAGCAATACAATTTGAAGTAATAACCATCAAAATTAAGGAAACATACTCGATTTTTAGCCTACACTTTTAATTCCACATTTTAATCATCAAAAATTATTGATTTCAGTCATATTCAAATGCATTCATAGGAGTTTGTACAACATTTTTCTCGTTTTTGCTGGTATTTGAGAATTAAAACGTCACGAAAATCACATTCGAAACCAATTTTTTTTAAAACTTCATTGTATTTTTTGAGAAAAAATTAAAAATTTCAACGGCAAACATCCTGTACCTACAAAAAAATTACAAATTAAACTTCAAGTTTAAATTTTTTATTTTAAAATTTATATATGAGTAGCTTTAGAAATATATTTTAGTTTTTAAATTTTTTTAACACCTACGATGTAATATTTTTTTTTTTTAAACAATAAGATAAAGAAACAATATTTCTTTCCTCACAATTACTACACAATTTAAGTAATAAATTAATTAATAGAAATAGAAAATTTAATTGAAATAAACTTGTACTTATGTTACAATATAAAAAAAAAAAAATATTGGTTTTATGATTTTAGGGAATATAAAAATTGAGTTTTCAATAGAAAAATGTTTAAAATCAAAAACAAAAAAATTTTTAGATTTTATTCAACGTTTTCTATATTAATTCGCTGCATATGTATATATTTTTAGTACTCTTACTTGGATCTAGAACCCACAATAAATTACAACAATTTACACATTTCACGTTGACTGCAGAAGCATCAAATGGAAATGGAAAAAGGGGTAGCCCTGCTGGCCCTAGACGTGTCGGACGTTTTCAATTATATGCAGATTCTTTAACAAAATTCAGTGAAAAATGTATTAATACAATAACTGAAGCTGATGATTTACCAAAAACTGAAATTCAAGTAATGTGGGTTGCTCCAGCTGCTGGTTCAGGTTGCGTTTCATTATCGGCAATGGTATATGAAGGACCACGTTCATGGTTTGCTGATGATGGTGAATTAACTAAAATATTATGTGAAAAGAAACCGGATGCTCAAAGTATTAAAAAAGAATGCTGTGCTTGCAATGAAGCAAAATATAGTGTAAATCTTAAGTTATTTAAATAATAGCTTTCATTATTTTTTTTATTTATATTTTTATACAATATTTTTGCTATTGTTTTAGTTTGTTTTCGAAGGAATTTGGTCTAATGAGACCCATCCGAAAGATTTTCCATTTGCAGTATGGTTAACTCATTTTTCAGATATTGTTGGAGCTTCACATGATTCAAATTTTTCATTCTGGGGTGAAAATCACATTGCAACAGATGGATTCCGTTCATTGGCTGAATGGGGTTCCCCAACGGCACTTGAAACAGAATTGAGAACAAAAGGTTCAAGATTAAGAACTTTAATAAAAGCACCAGGATTATGGTATCCTCATGTCAATACAAACACAACATCAACATTTAGAGTTGATCGAAAACATCATAAAGTTTCAATGGTCTCGATGTTTGGTCCATCACCTGATTGGGTCGTCGGTATAAATGGATTGAATTTATGTACTGAAGATTGTTCGTGGAAAGATTCAGCCGACATCGATTTATATCCTTGGGATGCAGGCACTGACAGCGGAATAAGTTATATGGTAGGAATAAAGAAAAAGTTAATAGAATTTTATGATTTTTTTATTTTTGCAATTTTTTTTAGTCCCCAAATGCAGAAACTCAACCGCGCGAGAGAATGTATAGAATAACTACAATGTATCCAGAAGATCCTAGAGCTCCATTTTATAATCCAACAACAGATAAAATGACACCATTAGCGAAATTATTTATTAGAAGAGAAAAAATTATAAATAGAAATTGTGATGATGATTTCTTACAAGCTTTACAACTAGATGAAAATCAAAATGATGATCAAGATACACGAGGTTATAATTGAATTTTTTTTTATAGTTTTGATAATTGATTTTATATCTGGCAAATTTTAGTTGAATGTGCTGTTACACCATATAAATCCTGGACCCCTTGTTCAGTCACTTGCGGTAAGGGTATACGATCAAGAACTAGAGAGTATGTAAATGAAGCATTGGCGATGAAATCCAATTGTAAAACTCAGCTTGTATCAAAAGAAATGTGTGTAGCAGCTATCCCAGAATGTAGCAGGTGCATGTTAAATATTATGCAATTATATCATATACTTTTAAGCTATAATTGCATAGTTTATACTATTATACTATATTACTAAAATAATTTCATAATAGTAATCAGGAAGATGAAGATGAAGGTGAAAATTTAGCTAACCTAACTCCATTAGTAAATGAAGCAGGTGAGGGAGTCGGTATTTGCCGAACTACAGCTTGGAGTAATTTCAATGAATGTTCTGCATCATGTGGAATTGGTATAACAATGCGTACAAGAAGTTTCCTGAATCATTTAGGCAGAAAAAGGTGTCCTCATATAGCAGTTGTAGAAAAACAAAAATGTATGAAACCGGAATGCACTTTTGAAACAGCCGAACTTCCGGATGCAGAATGTCCAACAACTCACTGGAGTGATTGGAGTCCCTGTTCTGCAACATGTGGAAAAGGTGTGTCTATAAGAACTCGATTGCTATTAGTTGAACCACATCAAATAGAGAAATGCGAAAAACGCATAGAGCTTAGTCAACAAAAAGAATGTACACTAGCACAAGATTGCACAATTAACGTAGATCTTGCTAGAGGTAAGAAAAAGTATACAATTTTAAATAAGTATTTAACCACTTTGAATCTTTAGAATTTTGTCAAGAAAGCGCAGATCGTGGTCCCTGCCGTTCGTCTTATAGGAGATATTGGTACAATCATCAAACTAAAAAATGCGAAGTATTTATATATGGAGGATGTCGTGGTAACAAAAACAATTTCTTTGCTGAAGAAGATTGTATGAACACATGTCACAAAGCTATGAATGGTAATTTTTCTATTCTTATTGTTTACAAACAAATTAAAAGTAATATTTACAATGTTCTGGTATTTTGTAGGAAGCAATGAACATTTTACATCTCGTCAAGCTTTAAACACCCAAAATTCTCCAAATAAAATTTCTACAATATCCAATTCAGATAAATTACCACAGGATTGTATTATGTCAGACTGGTCAGAATGGTCCACATGTAGTGCTTCCTGTGGCGAGGGAATTTCTGAGCGTCATCGTTATATCGTAAGATATCCTAGTAATGGTGGTCAACAATGCCAAAAGAAAACTGTTAAAAGGAGAAGATGTATTGTCGCAGATTGTAACTAAGGGAAATAACAATTTTTTTAAGAAATAAATGCACAAATTGATGAAAGTTGATTACAATGAGTAACAGTTTCAGCTAACGTTTAATATAAATGACTACCTACCTACCTACATTAATTATTATGTAATTTCTTTTTATGTAAAAAATATATTTTCGTAATACTTATTGGATAAAGTTCTAATTATTGCAACTTTTAAATAGGTTCTTCGATTCGCACAACCGCAGCTAAAGCAGAAAAAGCCTCTATTTACCTATTGCATAAATAGAAAATTTCTACTGAAAATTAAGCAAAATACCTTATATAACACTTGCGATCAGAATAAATACAGTGATATTATAGAAATTTTTCCATACGTATGCTCTTAGTACATACATGCTACGTTTAAAATATTAAATATGAATTATTTCGCATTTGTGTGTATCACCAATAATTTTATGATCAATTTTCTAATCAGCCAAAATCGAGATTTTGAAATTTTACTTATTTTTTTTTTTCCTTAAGCTCTTAAGAATTTGTTTTTTTTGCTATATTCATTAGCTACATAGCAATATGTAATTATAATGCAAAATATGTACATAGCCGCCCACAATGTAAATAAAAAAATATGGTTATATTTTACCATGTTAATGTTTATATACAGTTATACCTATTATGTATGCAATATTTTCATATATAGATAACTCATAGATATATATGCACTTACAATTAGTAAGTATATGTACATATTATAGAAATAGGTAGATATAGCTGCATACATAGGTAAAAATTTTTCATTTGACTTACCTTTAAGGCAACTCCTTTGAACAAATAACGCTTGAATTTGTGGATCAGATATGAATTTTTTTATACATTCCTGATTAGTTGAATCCTCAAGAGCTACATTTAATGCCGGAGGAATAAAATCTTCTTCCGGTAATAAAACACTTACAGCTTTACGTAAATGATTAGCGAAAGCTGCATAATCTACCACAGTCGCATTTAATGAGTCATTACTATGCTCCGTATTGTCTAAAGAATCACCCATGATTAAAATTTAATCACTGGGTAAAAACTATATTTGGAGCAGAATTATATTTATATATATATTTTTTATAAGATAATTTTATTTAAATATTTTCACTTTTCAAAACAAATAATTTAATTTATATTGATGAAAATTTTTTTAAAAACTTCCACGATACTTTTATTAAATCATCGAATGAAAAAAATCCAATTGAAGGAAGAATTTTGTAGAACAATTGAAATTGAAAAATTGTCAAAATGATAAATGTCAATGTCACATTTAAATGACGGAATTGAAGAAAATGAAACGGATTCAATTCGAAAAACGGGTTTATTTTTTCATTTTTACCCAATTAACAGAAATGGGTTAGAAGAATTTGTTCTTGAATTTCACTTTAAATACTTTTCAAAAAATAAAATGAAAATATATTTTATTGCTTATTGAGTTCTGGATAATAATTGCGAGAACAGATATGAGAAAAGTACATGTTATTTTGGTCTATCGTTATTTTGTTTGACTCTCCACCATTCACTTATATTTCATTAATTTTTACCGTCGAAGTTTTGTGGCCATAAGATTTTTACTAGTTAAATTTTTAAAAAATTAATTTATAATCAGTAATGCTAAAGAAATTTATTTTTCCAAAATAAGAACCCCAATTAACTTTAGAACATTCTCTATTTCTATTTTTAATTTTTATGTAGTTGGCAAATTTTTTTTTATAAGGCAACTATCATATTTAGTATTCAAATTCAAACTTACAATAATATCTTAACAAGAAAGAAATTAATTTATTTACTTCTCAATTAATTATAATAGAATAATAACAAGAACAGAATGTGTATTTTACGAGCAGCGTTTTTAGCTTAAGTTGATGTCATTCTCAACCAAATAAATTATTATAGGTACATACATATATACTTATTATTTTTTAATATAAAATTAATTACATAAAATAACAGATTAACCAAGTATTTTGTATTATATACGAAAGCTTTGTACATACATACATTCATGCATACTTGAAAAACTAAAGTGATAACAATTAATTTTTTTTTTTCACATTTTATTTATTTAGCAATTAAAAATTCCTAAAATAATGTTCGTTAAACTCTGTTTTGGTTCAGTTAGTTTCATAATTCTGCCGAGACTGGAAGATCAGTTTTAAAGTATGTAAATATATTTTTAATTTTTGAATAACAAAACTAATTTTAAGTGTAAAAGAAATTTTCAAAATTTTTCATTCAATTTGATTATCATTTCTGTTTTATATTACAATTTTGTTATTGTCTATAGCTATAGCTGTTAACAATGTAAATTAAATTTTTTTTTATTGATTTAAAATATACGGAAAAACAAATTGTGCTATCATGAAATGAGTTGAATATGACACGTGCATATTTAAATTTAATCAAAGAGTAAATATTATTATAGAGTAATTAATTTAATATAACAGAAAATATTGTCATTATTTTTTAATGTTATATAAAATATGAAACAATTTTCTGTCATTAACAACAACTCTTTTTTTGCTTAAATATTTGAATGTATCCGAACTTTTTGTGTGTAAACTGTTATATTAAACCGCCACTGCCGCTTCCATAAATATAGTAAAAATATTCTCTTAGATATTATTACTCTATGGTTTAATTAAAACTTTCAAATTTATTTTTAATAGGTATTTAATTATTCCTGTTTGTATAATCAACACATTCTTAAAATTTAAGTTTTTTTTTCAATAACAATAATTATTTAAAATTGATTTATAATGAATAAATAGTCATAATTTAGTGACAGTGATAACTGATAACATTTTATCTAAGGTACCGTAACTCTATCAATAGATAGGTAAAATGTGTTTAAAGAACAACAATATTTAAAAGCATAAGTGTTATATGGGGTACACATATAGTTGCATACAACAACTATACTCCCATATTAACCTTTTATATTATAAATTAAATACTTTATATTAACCGTTATATTTAAAAATGAAAATTACTTTATATGACAATTGCATACCACCGTATAATGAATTCTTTTGTCAAATTTACGTAAAAAAAAAAGAAACAAAAAAGAATCAAACTTCTTTGTAAACAATTAGTATAAATCCGACCGCGATACAATATCATATAGAATATCGAACGCGAGTGAGAAATAAAATATAGAGCAAAAATGACTAAACGTAAGATTTTAAAGAGATTATTTAATAAAATATTTATAAACTATTTTCTGCATATCTACATACTTAAATTAAATTTATAGCAATAATCTAGTAAATTTTTTTCAATTTATTTAAATTATATATACTATTGTTACCTATTATTTGATATTGTTATATTAATGACTGTAAATGTATACGTAATTTTTTAAATCCTGTAATGAAAATTTTTTACAATATTGAAATATTGTTTTGATATTCTTATATTGGTTAAGCTTTTTTTAAACCAATTATACATATATATATATAGATATGCATGTATGTACATAAAATGACCTTGAAAATTTATTTGTGCACCATAAATGTGTGTTTGTATATGACTTTTAAAGAACATACGACTTTTATATACATATATCTACTGAAAACAGTGTTGGTAACAAAATAATTTAGTAATTGGTTCCCGGTTAATATTTGATTAGACAAATTAGATACTCGAATATTATAAACCATATATGAATTATGAACATATCTATGTATGTATTGTTGTTTAATTTTCTGATTGCTGTCAGCATTTTTAACCCTTTGCACTCCAACTACCAGTCTGGCTGGTATAACAAGTAAAAACGATCTACTCCAACTACCACTTCTATTGGCAACATTATATTTTGTAATTATTTCTAGTTAAAACATGAATTTATAGCTGATACCGTTACTTTTTTTACATTAGACATGTTCTCTCTCTCTGTTCTTTGTTGTTTTGTATGTATTTACGATCTTAACGGTTAATTATTTCACAATTTGAGCTGGTTCTGGAAGAAAAAGAATAACTTTCTATTGCGATACATGTACAAGAAAACCCGGTCAACATGTAGGCGACTGTTTCTTGAATTATCAAACTAAAAAAGTTTATAAGAAATAAATTATTATTTTATTAGGTAAATAAATTTATTCGTATATTAGGTAAATTTTAAATTAATTTACCCTAATATACGAATAAATTTTTATATTATTAATCAATATTTAAATAATTTAGAGATGTTTAATACATTTCTACAAAACCTTCATCAAAATGGTTTTTTTTCCGTTTATGTCATATAAAAATGTCAACCAAATTAAATATTTTGAATTTGATTTTATTTTTAGATCATTATTCCTCGTTAATAAAAAATCATTTTTCCAAAAACTGCAGCATTTTTTCAAAGTATTGTGACTACAAAATATTTCCTAAAATTCCTTGGAATTGACTACCGACAGGAGCAAAAAATGCACAGAGCGCAAAGGGTTAAAAGTAAAAGGAGGAGAATTAATTTTTTGCGAAGCTTCAAACAGAAATCAGCTGATTTTTATTTTGTTTATTATTCTCGTATTAAATTGTTAAATTTTGACATAAACTCTGATATGTAAACAATTATCAGACTTTATCTACCATTTAATCTTAGATTTTATTGTATATGCAAACAGTACGCACCTTACAATTTAACAGTCGTACGTGTGGAGATATTTTTGTTTTTTTTTTATAATTGTTAAATTTAAATTTTGAGGAAAACAAAATTTTATTTGCATAATAGAATATAACAGTTTTTAAAAAAATATGTGTGTTAAGAAAATCTAGAATTCCTATTATTTGAAGTATTCACCAATAAGAATAGAAAACTGCTACGTTTTATATGGAATACCATTTTAAAAATAAATTATTTGTTAGAACTTTTAGAAACTGATCCGAAACAATTTAATCCACCACTGAAATTTTACGTATGTACATACACATGTATAGAAATATGTATGCAATACTGAAGCTTTTTCATTTTATGTTTTTGAAAGTGAAAGTTTTTTGTTTTATAAAATTTCGTTATTTTATATATAGAATAAAATTTAGTATTAACGGTGACTTTTCTTACCATTTTCTTATTTTAGTATTAAGTGGTACAATAGTGGGCAAAGATAGAGTTTTTTTTTGTTAAAAATAATGTGCCGAAATAAAGAATAAGCAAACAGAATGGTCAGGATATAAGAAAATTCAAAATTATCTTTAAAAAATGTAGTAAAATATTGATTTTAATAAAATTTTTCTGAAATTTCGGTATACCAAACTTGAAAAAAAAAATTTTCACTCAAGATTATGTAGAAAGCATAATAACTTTTTTTTTTGTGATGTCATGACACAAAGGAAACATAAGAATGTAAATAACCCATGTAGGTATAACAATAAATGAAAGTTGAATCACACTTATATTCGAGTATGTAAATAAGTATGTATGTCTGTAGTCACTTATAAAATAATTTTTACAATCTTTACGACTCATGTATCTTTTTTTTCGATTTATAAAATTTTCTCGTTTCGAACTAGGCCATAGGAATAAGAGAAAAACGTGTTTGTTTATTTTCAATTACTTATACTTTACAATATATAAGCATGTACAAATTATATATAATGTGTACTATATAAAGTACAAAACAAAACAAATATGTACGTATACATACGAGTGTATAATCTCTTGGTGGGCAACACTGTACCGCAATTATCTAGATATAGTCATATACGCGCTTTTTATTCTTTTGAGTGAGAAGTACTTACACTCTTACATTGTTTATTATTGGCAAAATAAACATGCAAAAAATTAAAATAGTTTGTTTATTTTATTCATATGTAAATACATACATATATATAATATGTACTGTATGTTATTTGTTCTGAATTACGTTTTGACTTTATAGGCGTATTGTTGTTGTTATTATTATAAAAGTTATAAGTGGTTATAATGAATGAAAAATTTATTGAATATTAAATTTAAACAGTGTGTATGCATGTATGTACATATGTATGTATTCATAAAATGTAATAACATAACCGGAATTGCTTAATAATAAAAATGTTTGAATTAAAGTACTTTTGAATTTTACATACATCTGCACATTATTGTTTACATAAAATGTTGTATCAGCGATATGGCGTATCAACAAAAATTTTGAATTTGAAATGAAAAAAGTACATTTGTCACATAATCAGTGGAGGATTAATGTAATCAAACAACTTGTTAGACTGTAAAGGGCCTAAATATAGAGTATTCTCAATGCTTTGGCAATTTGAATAGAATATTTCATAGTACATACATGCATATTTGGATTTCATACACTTTTTATTTTAGGTTAGACTGATATTTTTAGCAAATAATTAATGACAAACTAGAAAATATATAATGTCTTTATATCGCTATACATATGTACATACATAGAAATATAACATTACGCAATTTTTTAATTCCGAAGATTTCATTAGGCATTGTTTATGTATTTTAACATACCTATGTACAACAGAATCTAACTAATGTACCTATGCCTGACGTAAGTTATGTAAGCACTGTTTGACATCATACACTTTGCCTAACGGTAATTAAAAGAATTTACTCTATTTTCAGTAGATTTATTTATGGTCAGATTGAATTTGCTTAATAATACTTTACTTTCAGTTATTTGCCACTTACTTTTTTTGATTAAAATTATAATGCTTTTAATTGTTAAAAGTAAAAATACAAAGATTAATAAATGGCTCGCAATTTGCCATTTGAATCTGAACTTTAACATCTCTAAAAATAATATCAGCATGATTACATAAAGGAATCAGGTATATATGTAAACAGCACCTTAGTCTAAGGCTAATGACATAGCCATATAATAATCCGGCTCTGCGACGATACTCGTACTTTTCCATCTTGATTTTCTCTTTCTAACTATGCGTCTTTATTAACAATGTTTACTATATTTCTCATGTTGCTGTATGTATTATACATATATAAATATTTAAGTTATTAATTTATGTACACATATGTATATAGGTATATGAACTTAAACAAAACATACAATATAAATATTAAATAAATTATTGATAATTGTGAATTACGTGTGTATAAAAAAAACTACTTATGTACATATATGCCTGTAACGGTACATACTGATTTGAAGTTATAAGAAATTACCATCATTAGGCTGTGATTGGTAAATTAAATGCATTTAAAATTTGATTTCACATGTCAACTGTGTGGGTTTGTATGGAGTTACTTATATAGTCATTTACATTCTGCACATACATACATATATGAATAATAAATAAATAAAATTATGTACAATAAATACTAATTCATGTACATACATATTGTAGTACAGTAAGATCTGGTCAATTTTAAAATCTCGCTCAAAAATGTTCAAATCGAATAAAGATAAATATAAAAATTGAATAAAGGGCGTATTTTTAAATATTCGTATATACCTACTTCGAAGTTTCAAATCCATATACATATACTTCGAAATTATGTAATTCTCAATTCTTAAATTTTAAAAGTATTTCAGTTTATTTTGCTTGCTGGGATTGTTATTGTAAATGTATACATATTTATACATATTTATAATTATATTGTTATAATAAATTAATCACACAATATATTGGAAATGGTGTTTGTGAATATAGACCTGTCAAATTACACCTTTCATTTAATTGATTACCTACCTACTTGCTATTCAATAGAATGTCGCGTTTTAGAATTGTATTATATAATAATTATATAGTAAGTATGTAATATTAACGGAATATGCATAAATATTTAATTTTATATTTCACATTATGCGTGATTACTTGCACAAATATGTAACAGAAATATCGTATATTTTGAAGTGAGTAGAAAGTAATTTTTACCGTTATGTTCACAATATTTATGTACTATCTTTTAAGAAATATTTTATTAAATTATTTTAAATAAAATTAAATCTTTCTTTTCAAATTTAATTTTCATATATAGTAAAATATCTTTTGCGCACTTTCCACCTAAGCTATACAACTATGGCAGCGGCTCATACAAGTAAATTAGTTGCTTTTAATGAATCAAGACGCTTTATGATTGATTGTTTTATGGCTGCGAAAGTACCAAAAGATCATGCTGAAGCACAAGCTGATTTACTTATTAATGCTGATTATCGTGGACATTTTAGTCATGGAATGAATCGTCTTGAAATGTATATTAATGATTTATTAATTAATTCAACGGATGGTGCTATTAAACCAAAAATTATTAAAGAAGGTAGTTCAACAGCATGGGTTGATGGACAAAATGGTTTGGGTGCTGTAGTTGGAAATTTTTGTATGGATCTTGCTATTAAAAAAGCTAAAGAACATGGAGTTGGTTGGGTATGTGCAAAACGTTCAAATCATTATGGTATGGCAGGATGGTATGCTATACAAGCAATGGAACAAGGTTTAATTGGTATATCAATGACGAATACATCACCATTAGTAGTTGCGACACGTAGTAAACAAGCTGTATTAGGTACAAATCCTTTAGCATGTGCTGCACCAGCCAAAAATGATAAATTTATTTTGGATATGGCTACATCAGCGGTAACTTTTTTTTTTGATATTTTAATGTAAATTTATTAAAAATTATTAAAAAGATTAATATAAGAGCTAAATAAGAGTTATACAGCAATATTATTTTAGAGGTGTGAAATTAAAGTTGTTAAGAATATCACTAATTATTTAATTTTTATGTCATTTTTTGTTTGTGTTAATTAACTCCTAGTTAGTTTGATTAACAAAAAAAAATATAATGAAGCAATTGAATAAAATAATTTAAAATTATGATGTGGAACGGGAGTAGCTCATTATCATTGAAATTATTAATAATTAACAAAACATTTCAAATTAAATTGCTATTAAAAAAATAGGAAACTAAATAGCACTATCATGGCACTCACATTAATAGTGTCATGATAAGTTAATAAAAACTTCATTAACTTCTTTTTAGAATATTCTTTAATGTTGACTTTTAAATTTATATATAAATGTATTTTTATAAAATTTTTAGGTGGCTGTTGGTAAAATTGAAATTCAAAGACGTAAAGGTGAACCATTACCACAGGGATGGGCACAAGATCCAGAAGGAGATATTACAAATGATCCAGAACTAGCATTTAAAACTGGTTGTTTATTACCTCTAGGAGGTGCTGAAATAACATCAGGATACAAAGGTTATGGTTTATCAGCTATGGTAGATATTTTATCAGGTGTATCCTCAGGTGCTTTATACTCTACACAAGTCCGAAAATGGACTCATGCTGGTGCAAATAGCGAAGCAAATTTAGGTCAAGTTTTTATTGCTGTCGACCCAAATTCTTTTGCTCCAGATTTTGAAGAAAGAATGACTGATTTTAATTCACGTTTAAGAAACGCTACACCCACCGATCCTAATAAAAAAGTTTTGCTTGCAGGAGATAAAGAGGACTTAGCAATGAAAGCTGTTGATAAAGCTGGTGGAATTCAATATGTTCAAAATCAATTGGAATCATGCGATAGATTGGCAAAAAAGTTAAACATTAAACCTCTACAATTTTTAAATTGATTGCATTTTAAAATTTTTAATAATAAATATTGTTCTTAAATTTTACATGTTAAAATGTAAGTCTTGTTGAAAGCTGTTATTTTTTTTATAATATTATAATGTACTAAATAAAAATGTTATGAAGTTATGAAAAAAAATATAGTTTACTTAATCATTTTGCAAAAGCATGGTATTTTTAAATCGCCGTAAACAGTTTCTACGCACGATTAAATTCGATTTTTATTGCAAAATAAATTAGTCATTCTAGTTAAACAGTGAATCTTGAAAAACCAAAGTTTTGAAATCGTCATGGTCGAAAATTTCAATTTAACGCTTTCCTTCGTTTTCGAAAAGCCAAGAGTTGTAAACTCATTTTATGTTTCATATTCCATTTCCTCTTCATATTACTGTTAGTTCCTGTCTTGAAACCCGTTTCACATTTCGTTTTGTTTTGCCACGAGGTTGTCAAAGCTGACACTTGTTATCAAAGCAAAAACTAAGTAAAAAAAACAAAACATTTATTTTATTAGCAAAAAGCTTGTGCATAAGAAATACTAATTTTACAAAACAAGGAATATTGTTATCAAAAACTATTCCAGTGGCCCATTTCTATGATAAACACTGTTAGAGTTTTATTGCAGGCAAACAAACAAATTTTTTTGCCGGCAGTAGTGAAAGGTAATTTATAGTGTTTTGTATCATAAACATTGCATAATTCTATGGATATGTGCAATATGAACATATGCACACATACATTCATGCATATATAACTGGGTTAATGGCCTATTTGTGATTAAAAAAGTTACAATTTTTTAGGTCCTGGTAATTTACAAAAATTCTTAGCAAGAAACATGAGTTCAGCATCCAGCTTTGTTTTAAGAGAGATCGATGGAGATTTATTTTCTGCTCCCAAAGAATATTCACTTGCACATTGTGTTGGTGCAGATATGGCCATGGGAGCTGGTATAGCAGTTAAATTTCGTCAAATTTATCAGCAAGTCGATGAATTGTTAGATCAAAATGTTTCAACTGGTGGTGCAGCTGTATTAAAAGATGAAGATAGATTTATATATTATTTAGTAACTAAACAATACAGTTACGAAAAACCCACATATGATAGTCTAAGGTCCTCTTTAATTGATATGCGTAATCATATGGTAAAAAGTGACATAAAAATAAAATACACAAGTACATATATTTTAATTATTCAAATTTCAGATACAAAATGATATTAAAAAGCTTGCTATACCAAAAATTGGATGTGGAATCGATGGATTAGAATGGGATAAAGTACAAGCTGAATTAAAAAAAGTTTTTGAAAAAGAAAATGTGGAAATAACAGTTTACAATTTCGTCCCCAAATAATTTTCGCAGTTCAACTATGGATCAGAATTATTATTTACGGACTGTTTTTGTTGAGTTCCCATTTTTCAAAGAGCTTAAGTTCTATTTACCTAATAGAATATAAAATTTGATTTTACATAGGTATGTGGTATACTCAATACTGGTTTTTTCAAATCAATTATATAAGTTTTTAGGACATTTTTGTAACTAAAAATTTTTAAATTTCAAATTGTACATTGAACTTACGAGTTATAAATAATTGTAGAATAAATGTATTGGCTTAATAAAAATGTTTTATTAAAAAAATTATTCTACAATTTCTGTATTATTTTCATCAGCCAAAGTTTCTTCGTCAAATTGCATTCCTTCTTCTTCTTCTTCATTATCGTTTTCGTCGTCATCTCCTGCAACTTCTGCATTTTCGGCTTCCGCTCTTTCCATACGACGAACAAGATCGGCTTCATCAATGTCAGTAACAACTTTGGGTGCCATTTGAATTTTGAACTCACCTTTATACTGAGTAATCGTTTTCTTTATATTTTCTATGGCTTTTTTGAGAATCTCTAAGCCTTCTGCTTTTTCTGGTGTTGAAGTTGTTATAACATATAAAGGCGGTGCAATCAAATTGATTCTAATTGGTAAATCTTCTCTTGAGCACTCTAAACCAGATTTCAAAGCGGCTCTTACAGCATCAATTCCTTCATAGCCGTAACATGAACATTCAATGTCTGCACGTATTTTCATTGCCTGCGATGTAAGTTTACGTTTTATATTGCTTAATAAAACTTCTTTTGTTCTATCATCTAAACCACATTCATCCAAAATTGATGGATCAGTAACAGCTTGTTTAAAAATATCATAGGCTGCTGTTTTATTTTTGAATTTTTTTTCAAAATACCAAGCAGTATTCTCATATAACTTTTCCAGCTTGTAATTAGATTCGTAGCCTAAAATGTCAGCAACGTGTCTTAAGATTGAGTTTACTGCTTTCGCTTTAGCAAACCTTTCGGTACATTTTTCAACATCCTCAGGTGAAACTCGACGTTTTGACAAGTCAATATAACCTTTTTCTTTATCCACACGAATCACTACCACTGGTTCTGTTTTTCCTACTCTAATTAATTTATTAATAGATCTAATACGTCTTCTTGATAATTCGGAGAGTAGGATCATGCCTTCTATGTTATTATATTCCAATATTTGAACATATGCTCCCATTTCGGCAATTGAGCGAACATTGACCATAACAACATCTTCTACCTCCGGATATTTCTCTTTGTAAAAACGACTTGACAAAACCATTCTTAATGCCGATTTTAACCTTTTTGATTAATTTTTATATACAAAATATATAAATATTTGAATAAAATGTTTTTTAGGTAGGATGAACCAACTTTAGTACAATGTGGCAGGAAAACTTGAAACTTAAAAGAAATGACAGCTAATTTTGTTTGAAACAATTGAAAAAAATTAAAGAAACGTCATGTTTTTTTGTAACACACGGCCTCGTTTTTTAACTGAAAATTATTGACACAGTGAGTCAATATTGTAAATTCTTCACTGACGATGTCACTTTGTTGAAATTTAATGTCACTAATAAAGGGTGCTTTTTAATATCATTAATCAATCTTTTTTTTACTTTACAGTTAGAAAAAGTAAAAACTTAATCTTTTTCTATTTTATAAGTGTGAAGATTTCTGCAGTTTTCAGTTATAATAACATTAAAAAATTGATTTAAAAAAAACAGATTCTGACAAAACAGATTTTTTTTTTTGGATTTCGGTTAAACTAAAACAAATATGTAAATAAAATAACATTTTTTATTTTAAATTTTAAAAGCTATATAAAATTTATTATGTAATTTACAAACACTTTTCTGTTTACAAATATTTTTTTATACATTTCATCTCTTTGGAATAAATTAGAAAAAAAAAACGAAAAATTATAAAACTAATATCAAAAATTTTATTTGGTTTTTTTTTTATTTTTTCAATTTTCGCTTCTCAAAAAAACTTTTATACATATGTATGTAAGTATTTTTTATATCAAAAAAGAAAACTAATTTAATTATGTAAGTGATTGATATTATATTTTCTGTTTACTCATAAAATTCTAGGATGAACTTACATTTAAGGAAATTTTAAAATTTCTAATCCATTTATTTATAATTTAAATATAAAAGTGTTAAAGACTCCATATTAATATAGAATATTTTATATTAATATTTTATTTAAAGTTATACTGGTATATTAATATAACATGATAATTTGTTTAGACATAAAATTTGTATACATACAAAGCCTAATTTTTTTTTTGTTTTTTTTTGTTTATACACATTATTATTTATATTCATTTTAATTTAAAATAAATAAATTGGTAAAAAATATCAAAAAATATTTGAATTCAAATCAAATATTATAATAATGAATATCAATGTTAACTCGATTTAAATTGTACAAATTAATAAATATTAATTAATTAATAATAATTAATATATTTATTATTATGAATATTTATGTAAATAAATATAATATTACATTATATTAGATAAATATAATTTATGATTGTTACTGAAATTACCATTAATTCAAAACTAAAAAAAAATTAAGATCAGTTGAAAATTCTAATTAATATTATGTAGTTGAAATGTTTTGTAAGCGATGAATTATCATAATATTAATAACATTAATATTTTATGAGTCATATAAATCTTTGTTCTAGTAATTGTGTCACCGTTTACCTATTAACAATGTTTATTTTAACCCCAGTGACAAATACCGTGATCAACAAGATCAGAAAAAGCGCAATTTTAATCTGAATTGTAATACGACAAAACGTAAGCGTTATAAATTCCATTATACGTTGCCAATGCAACTGATTATTATTTCAGTTTTTTTTTGCATTCCTTTAAAGGCTGATGCATAAGTGATTTTTATATGTAACAAAAGGAATGATGAAGAAAACATAATAATTTTACAGTTTTAAATTATCTGCGTTATTTTTAATAATAAATAATTTTTAAAATGTAAATTGCAAAAATTGTTTAATTGAAGATGATTGTCATTTGCAAAATCAAGCGAATGACGTGATTGATATGATCGTTAAATTTTTGACATACTGCGAAACGACTGTTGTAGTATAACGCTGTTCATGTTACTTAAAATTTATCCACTCCATCATTATAATTTCGTATCGTATTCGATTGCGATTTTCGCATTTCATTATTAATTTCTTTCATGTTGTTAAATAATCGAGAACTTTCTTTTTCTATTATTTTCAAACAATATTTTTTACAACAACAAATATTCTATTTATGTATTAAATTTTATAATGAATAAGAATATTTCAAATAAATATGTTCAATTGTACATCTAATTTTGTGCAAATAAAATTTGTTAAATTTGATGAGGAAAAAAAATGAGGCTTAATTAATTAAAATAATGCCAACCTGGGTATTAAATTTGAATTGGTCAAGATTAAACAGACAGTAAAATATTCATTATTATATTGAGTTTACAAAAAATCATTAATATTATTTTAAATATACTCATAATGATATTTTCAAAAAAAATATTTTATTTTGATATATTTATTTTAAGGAATCTTATATAGTTTAAGGACGGAGATAAGAAATGAATTTGTATACGAGTTATTATTAAAAATCTAAAAAGTTTGAAGAAATTAATTACAGTATTTTCCATTCATAATATCATCATTCGGTTTTAAATATGATTCATAACAAAACTCACTATTTTATAGTTTTAGCGCGTACCTACTCACTTCATAATATTTCTATAATAAAACCTCTCTATTTCATTTTTTAGATTTAGTGTATAGAAAATTCGGAATTGAACATAAATATTCATATTTTTTTATTTTAATATATGTTCTTCTTATTTGAATTGAATTCTTTTTATAATTTTTATAATTTTTTTTAAATTTTTAAAAATAAAAGTAAATAAAAAGTAAAATAAATAAGAAATAAAATTAAAAATTAGAGTTTACCCATGGTTGTAACATGTTAGTAATAAACTTTTTTAGTTAAAAATTAATTTCCTTTGTTTTACTATTTATATTATAAACTATTAATAAGAATATAAAGTAAGATTTAGTTCCAATTTTAAAAGAAAAAAATGATTAATTTTTAGAAGGCACCAGGGTTGTTCTTTTCTTTTTTTATGATATATAAATTAAATATTTTTTTTTTTATACAATATAATTATTATTCTTTTTTTTTGTAAATTCAATAACATTTTTATTATTATTAACATCAAAATGTTTTTAAGCGAAAAAACAGATTTAAGTTAACATTAAGTTAACAAGTAACATTGCATTTTGTATTTTTTTTTATTAAATATTAATTTATATATATATTTTTATACTTTCTATTGTTATATTATGATGAATATTCCAAAAATTAAAAAAATGGCAACATGGGAAGCATATTTTAAAGCTATAATTTTAATCTTAAACAATAGGGTTCTTATATGGTTACTTATTGAAAAAAACAATATTTTCAAAATTTTTAATAATATTTTTATTAATTGAAGATTCCTAATTAAATTGTTATGTTCTTCGTATTCTGTTATACGCCTTAATTAAGGTGATTGGATATTATTAGAATATTAGAAAAGTATTGAGCTTTACAGTTTGTAGAATATCAAATTAATTAAAGAAATTGATTTATTATTTTGGAAACTACAAAATAATTTTTGAATAATTTAATAATAACCTTTGAATTCTTTTGCATTTTAATCGATTAGCAAACAAATTCTGAGACAACTCTGAACTAAGAAAATTGTGAATCGATTAGTTAACAAAAACAGTTTTATTTTTAATGTTGTCAGCAGATTAATGTTTAATGTTGTCTTCATTTGTAATTAAACTGATAATGAAAAACTTAATTAATAATGTCAATTGCCAATCGTATCGTTAAATTTACTTTTAGAAATATTTAGAATAAAGAAAGAAATATATTGCTAAAGCTGTTGTCAACTGGTTGCATGCAAAACTTTTGTAGGAAAGTTTTTTTTTAAGAATAAATTGTTAATAGCCGGTTGGTTATAGTCGAGCGACTTTTGACATTATTGATTACCATTACAACTTATGTACTACGATAGAAATTTCAAAAATACATAAATGTTTTTTTTTTTTGCTATATTTAAAGCATAACTGTAATAATGAATGCTGTATAATAATATTAAATTCAATGTCATACTTAATACCAATAATATTATTAAAAAATTTGTTTTATTTTGGATTTGGCACACTATACAAATATCTACTTTAGACATTATTCATCTAAGTAGTATTATAAATGTCCTGTTACTTGTATAACTAAAGTACTCGTTTTCTGTTTTATGCTTTATAAACGTTTTTTTTTTTGTACATTGGTTTTGAAAATTTTTTGTTAAAACATTTTTTTTTTTATTTATTTCTCATTAAATTTTAATACAATGGAAAAAGTAATTTTTTCTTATACGTAATAATGCAAGAAAATTATGATTTTTGTTTTTTTTTTTTTAATAATTAATTTTTTTTTAATTCTATTTTACAATTTTTTTTATTTATTTTCATTTAATGATTTTTGTTTTTAAATATTTATATGTAAAAATTTTGATATTAATTTTGTTTGTTTTTTTTTTAAAGTTAATAAAATTTATTCTATACACACATTAATATTTTTTCTAATTAAATTTATTTTATATGCTATTATATAAATTAATAAAATACTCTCATTCAAGAATTCATTTACAAAAAAATTTTTTTAATATTTTTATTCAAAAAATTTTAGTCCCATTATACTTACATAGATTTAAAAATTTATAAAATCAAAATTATAATTTCAAAGTTATAAAATTTTTTTTTAATTTATTTTCATTATTTTAAATTTTTTACTTTCGTTATTTTAAAAACTTGAAAAATATTTGAAACCATGGAAAAGTTTTTTTTTGTTTTTTTTCATTTTTTAAGTTTTTCTTTTTTTTTAAACATTATTTAATTATATTTTGATAATAATTAATATTTCTAACATGTTTAAAATACATTTTAAACATTTTTTGTATTTTTTATTATTTTTTTATTTATTTGAAATTAAGTTAAGATATAAATTTGAATTTTTGGTGTTAAAATGTTTTTGAGAACCTGCAATTTCATTTTTTTTGACCATTAGAAATATTTAATAAAAAATAATTAGAAAACAATTTTCCTTTCTTATATTTATTTTTGCAAAGAAAATTGAGATTTTAATTGAAGAAAAATGATTAAACTAAAAAATATAAAATTGTAATTTAAATACGTAAAAGTTTTGTACCTAAAATTTGGGCATCTACCAAAAATAAGATTTAACGTCAAATTTACTTTTTTTGGATTTTATTACAATCTGCAGAAAGTAGAATTGATTTTGGTAATGTTTACCAAAATGTCAAAGCAAAAAAATATTATTCTGACTTTACCAAAATACTTAGTAAAAAGGAATATAAATTTGACGACAAAAAGTTGGCAATTTGGTAGACGCCCTTTTTTTTTAATTTTGAATAATAATTTTACGAATATTTTATTTTTAATTAAACATTTATATTTTCTTGCGTATTAGTATTAAGTACGAAAAGAATAGCAATTTGAATTTTGTGCGAGTACACACAAAATGTAAAAAACAATAGTTTGTAATTTTGAAAAAAAAAATTTTAGTCCTCGTAGAATTTTCTGATCGATTTCAATACTTAACGTTTTATATTGTTTGCTTTACTAAAAAATCGTACTTATTTATTAGTATTTTATTATTTTATGATTTTCAAAATATTTCTAGCTTTAATATCTTACATTATGTAGATTATGTTTTTTTTCTTCTTATTATAAACAAATAACAATAAAAACAAATTTATTTTTTTTTTTCAAACTAACGATTGTCAATTTCGTTCATTAATTATCTAAATTAAATAGATCAAAATATTTTCGATTGATTTTTCGATCGATTGAAAATTTGATTTAGTAAAAACAAAAAAGCTAGAAAAAAACTAGAAAATTATTGTTTTTACAATTAAAATTTGAAGAACAAAAAATTAAACATAAAATATAAAAATTAGAATTTAGAAATTTTTATTCTAGCCGTCAAAATAATCATTTATTTAAAACATTTTTAATTAATTTAACTAATAACGCAATAATTTCGATCGGCTATTTGATTTAATATTAATAATATGATGGCGTATGAGGTTGCCATCTCTTCTATTTCAGGAACCTAAAAACATACTTAAATTAAATAAAATGCAATATTAGAATAAAGGAAGAAAAAATTTAAGAAGATTATGGAATCTTAAAATTTCGTTTTTACTTAGTTTGCGCGATAATAAATATTAGAATTAAATTATATTAATATTAAAATTTTGTTTTTTGTGTGAAAATTAAAAAAACAAAACAATGTGAAATTTTGTGAAACATTGTGAGCTACCATTTTAGACAAATCTATTTGTTTTTGTCTAATAATCAAATCTATTTGATTCTACCTTAATATAGTTCTATGGAAAAAAGAAATTTAATTTTTTCTTTATTTTGTTTTTTTTTTTTTATTCAAAATTTTAATTTCAGTTTTCTACTTAGAACTATAATAAGTGAGGGTGTGATCTAAATTTTAGCTGATTACAAAACGAAAAATTGTACTATTAATAAAAATTATATTGTAATTTTGACTTATTTCTAATATTTTTTTTTTAATTAAATTGTTGGCATCATTATTTTTTTATTTGTTTTTGTAATTTTTCTTTTTAAAGTTATTTAAATAAAATTTTTGTAATAATAAATATGCAATGTTTTTGATTAAAAAAACACACTATAACAATTGTTTAACAATTTTCAATATATAATAAATTTTATCTACAGCATTATCTTAATATTTAATTTAATTTTTTTGTTTATAATTTTATTGTATATTACATTTTGAAATACATTATATGTATATATTTAATCGAATGAATTGTAATAATTTTCTTTTGACGATTCAATCGTATCATAATTTTCTATATAATTAGAGTATAAAGAATTTTTATAAAAATTTCTATGATGTGAACCTTCTAAAGATTCACCTGTTTCTGTCCATAAATAAGGACTGCCATTTTCTGTTAAATTATAATCGTAAGATGACATATTAAAGTTATATGAGCTTTCTGGTGAACTATTTTGAAAAATTTCCGAGAATCGTCCAATTTCAGTTGATCCGAAAGCTTGTTGAAATGCAGGTAATGGTTTAATATCCTAAAATGAATAAATAATATTATTATCATAAATTTTTAAAACTATACATTTTTAAAATAATAAGTATAATTATGTACCTTAATTTCTTCACGGAGTTCTACTGTTTCGCTTAAACAGTTGCCAGAACCAGATTTTTTTCTTGATTTTTTGCTTGGTATAAAATCACATTCCAATACTCGACTCCTATTATTAATATTTGTTGAAACATTTGTTTTTGAATTATTTTTATTTGAATTTTTATTATTATTATGCTTTTGTGTATTATCATCTCGTTGTGATTTTGAACGCGATTGGAATTGATAATGATGATGCGATGACCAATAATTTGAATTTGATTTTTTATTTTCTAATTGTAAACTATCATTTTTTAAAGCAGCTCTCGAAGAATTATTATTTTCCCGTTGATTACGTGTGTTTTTAGTTTTTGAAGAAGAATTCGGAGAGTTTTTATTATAATTTTCCTTATGTTGGGTGTGAAGACTAAAATCAGAATTATTTCGTCCAATTTGATTTTTCTCATTTGAACAATTATCCGAAAACGGTTTAATAACTCGATCAAGCTGATTGTCCTATACAAAGATAACTGATTAAATTTCTATTTCATTAGAAATATGTTGTTAATTTCTTTACCTTTTTATTAACTGCTTTAAACCCTTTTAAAGATGTACTGGACGGTATATTATGTGCTTTAGGTTTAGGGTCAATTTCATCTTCTGTAAAATAATTAATTTTAATTTATTTTATAAAGTTTGTATATATTGTATAAATTATGTTGATATTTTTTTTTGGTATACACTTTTGTAAATTAATATTGCTTACCTTTTTTAATGTTTAAATTGTCAGCTTCATTTAAATGATCATTAGTCATTTTGGTATCTATTAACTCTAATTTTATTTCATTTGAATCTTCTTCTGTGTTATTGGAATTAATTTGGTTAATATTATTTTCATCAGGTTTTTCTTCAACAATGCTGCCATCGCTAGTGTTGTTGCCATCAATTATATTACTACAGCCACTAATTCCACTATCCGTATAACTGCTGACACTAGTAAGAGGTGATGATGCAATTGTCGTTTCTGAATTCATGTCATTGACGGTATTACTTTCTGATATAGATGACTCAGCTCTTTGTTCTATTTTATCATCACGATTACTGTTATTGATTTCTAAAGGCAAATCTTCTATACTATCAGAAAACTTTCTTTCATTGTTTGATAAGTTTTTATGGTCCAAATTGGACGATAGTGGTCGTAATTCCTCGTTAATAAGGCTTTCAAGTTTATTTTCTGAATTTTCTTCAAAATTCTTATATCTACTATTGTATTCTGATGATCTAGGAGAATGCATTAGGTCCACTTGATGATTTAAATTCTCGTTCGATAACGTTATAGGGTTCGGGTATGAATTTTGATAAAGACTACTATGTTGCAATGCGTTATGTTTACTTTGTAATAGTTGTTGATGGTGTTGCTGTTGTTGCTGATATAAATGATGATATTGTGCACTATTAGTTGTTTGATATTCTGGATATGAATTTAATTGTGTATAATGGCTGCGATAATAATCAAAACTTGTTGATTTACCATTATAAGATGGAAAAGCTGAATAAGAATTTGGATATAAAGCTTGTGGATGATGTGGATTGTATGGTGTTGGATAATGTGGTCTCTTCAAATGAGTTGTTAAGGGTGGAGAATAATTATATATATTATGATATGTATTTGATAAGCCAATATTATCTTTGAAACCGTTACGAACGGTTTGATGTAATCCAGCTATTGGGTCATAAAATTCATTTCTAGGAGTTGAATAGTATGTTGGGCTTGGAGCTGGTATATGTGAAGTGCGATGTGTTGGAAGTCCTAAAAAATTATATATAATTTTATAATTAAATTTTTTCAATAAAATTATAAAATATTTTATTTACCTAAATGGTGATTATAATATGAACTCTTTGGCACATTTAGTTTTCCATAATTATTAAATGATTGTGAATAGTTATAATGAGTATTTCTATAATATTCCTCTAATGGACCAGGAATCGATGAGTTAACACATCCATTAATTCTATCGAGTGAATTTTTAAATTGATCAACTGGTGTTGGTGGTGAAAAATTACTAACTGATCTAGGAAGATAATTTCTTGGATAATTTGAATCAAAATTGTATGGGTAATAATTCATTGGGTTAGTTGGTGCTGGTGCTGGTAATAGCGTACTTGATGTCATTTTATATGACGCTGGATATTGATGTTGTGAATATCTTATTGGTGAACTATTTCTTGGATGATTTAAAAAGGAATTTGTAGTTTCGTTATTCATTTTATTTAAATAGTTTGGACTATCGATTCGATTAACAGGTGGACTTAATAATGGAGATGGGGTGTCTGAATGTCTACTATAACGTGATAATCCAAATCTATTTTCTGGTGGAAGTTGTGTGTAACAATCCATTGTGTTGTTTTTTTTGTTTTTATTTATCTTTGTGTTATGTTTAAGTGTCAATTTCAATATTTCGGTTTGAGTTTTAAGTTATTTTCTTTTTAGTTTAAATGTTAATGTAATAAAGCCTTTTTATTAAAGTTCCCATTGATGTAATCTAAAACGAAATAAAATTTTTGATTATTTATTTTGTCAAACAATATGTATGTAATATATATTATGTATTTTTATTATTATGTGTTAAATAATTTTGTGTTGCATGTGAATTCAAGCGCAATGTTTCATTATTATTGGACCTAGAGTGTCAGTGTTTCAACAATGTCTCTTAATGGAGATTTTTTATGCCATTCTTCTATGGTGATCATTCACATTTTTTTGTGTTGAAAATTTGCAATTACACATAAATTACGTATATATTTTAAATAATTCACAAAAACAATGCCTAAAGTTACAAATTAAATTACAAACAGAATTTTTTTCTATATTTGAACAGTTAGAAGCAGGTCAAATTGTGTTTTCAAAATTTCCACAATTTGTTAGCATTGCACAGTTTTGGTCATTTCTCTTTTATACTCTTAAGGAAAGAGTATTATAAATATTATCAAAAAATAGTGTTCTTCGATTATTATCAAATCTATCTGAAATATGTGTATTTTATTATGGCTATACATATTTATAATTCTATCCTTTATGAGGCATGTACACAACAAGAATACCCTCAAGTTTATTATATTCTGTATATTATATTTTCACCCATTCAACAAAAGTTTCTTGCCATTCTCAATAGTAATTTTTCTTATTGTTGCTGTCAGAAATTGTAAAAAAAAAACTTTGTTTAAGCTTCTTACAAGTTATAACGGAAATTATACACATATTTAACAAAAAAAAAAAAATTTGCCTCCTATCATTTCATATTTATTTTCTTATTTAGTTCAGATTTAGATGAAAAATATAGTGATCATAAATTATTGGAAGCTTTTCATGTATAAAGAAATTTCCTTTAAATATAAATAATGTAGAAAAAGGATATATGCACTTTACAGTTTTTATTATTAGCTTTGACCTTTTATAAGTCACCATTATTATTTTGCAGTTGCAGTATATCTATATACTTATATATGTATATGCATGTATATTTATTTCTATAAACATTATACAAAATAAAAAAAAACTTTATATTTTTGATTAGAAGAATATTTTTGTGATAATAATAAATTTATTATTTAGAAAAGCTATAAATTCTACTATATGTACATATATATATGTATATCTGTTAAGCTATATAAGTTGCGTAAAATTCCTTTAAGAATTAAACCAAAGATTCATTTTAGATTCCCCTATAAATCGCTGATAATTTAAATAGAAATTCAAGTTAATTGTAATATTCACGTATTTTAAAATTTTGGATGTCAGCTATCCATAAATCATAAAATATAAACATTGTTATTGGTTATAGGTAGTGTAGGATTAAATAAAAATAATTTTAATTAAATTTAATTATTTAAATATAAACATTATATAGTATAGCTAAATCATCATCATTTAAAAAAATTTGAAATAGGTTAATTTTGTATTTAAAAGCTTTCCAAGGACTTAATTAATTTAATTGTCTATATTATATATTAACTGTGCAACAAACTGAAATTAAGTAATAAAAATATAAGAGAAAAAAAAAAACAAAACAATTACAAAAATAAAATTAATTAAACAAAATATATATTGAATGATTAAAAACCGAAAAAAAGAAAAGGATAACAACAACAACAAAAAAAACAAGCAAACGGTATGTAAAAGTTAACCGAGATTAAATCATATATAAAGCAAAAAGATAAAAAGCTTTCGAAAAGCTTTGTATGCACTGATTTCTATATATATATATACACATATACATATATGTATATGTACATATATATACAATAATAACCGTACATTTATTGTTTTTTATTCCATACTCTTTATAGTTTCTATATATTAGATTGTTAAAGATAATATTATACGCGCTTATATATATATATGTACTCTTATATATAAATGCATGGGTAATAAATGGGTATATATAGAAGTATTAAGATTTCTAATTGCATATAAATATATGAAAATATTTATGTATACTTATATAAGAAATGGTACAAGAAAATTTTAAAAAGTTTACGTCAACTTAGCCCTCAATTTCCGGTATATAACTCTATTATACATATATATATATATGATTATAAAATTTAACAAAAAAGTAATAACATTCATAAGAAAATTCATATTATAGAGTTAACCCATTTCAAGAAAATATATATACATATATATATATATATGTACAATCTTATATATACAATATATGTAATTTATTTAATTTTATATTAACTTAAGTACAAAATACACATACATACATATGTATGGAATACTATATTATATATATTATTGTCATATAAAATATGACAAGAAAAACATATAGAAATTATTTTTCATCAAAAGTTCAGGGAGAAAAATTTCTAAATAATTTTCAAAATAATCTCTTCTAAACTTTAAGATCAATATGGTTTTTTTTTCGGAGTAATTGAATTTTAATTTCATAATTTCATAATTTTTGTTGACATTTATAATTCTTTATGACTTATGAGTGCTTAAATTATGAGAATTAGGCTGCGTGTCAGTCTAATCCTTCTAAAACTGAGGATCAGATGCAAACAATTAATTTATATTTATAATTTATGTATATTTTGAACGCATTCTCTAATAAAATTTTATTTCACTCATCCAAATTGCATTATGTAATTTAATTTTTTGACATAAATGGTTTATAATGCCTATATACAATAACGAAAGTGACAACTATTTCTAATTTTTATATATACCTAATATCGCTTTATATCCACATATATAAAAGTACATTCTTATCATATTTCATTACCTATTTTTCTATTATGTACTATATGAAACAAGTTAGTAGTTAAAATAATAATCTATGCAAGTATGTATAATAAAATATTGTACACAATATGTTTACATATACAAAATTCGATTAAAAAAAATATTGACGTATGTACATACGAATATTATGTCAAACAATTTTTAACCTAAAAGTATGCATTATTTTATATAAAGCATCTTTGTATATATATATATATTATGTACTTATATTATGTATGTATACATATTTAATATACAAAATTTAAATACTTTTAGGCAATTAATATATTATTAATTGTTATATAAAAATATATATTATATTACATTATATTTTACAATTTTTCTTTAATAACTATTTGTATACCTATTTTCTTATTACATACGTATGTACATATGTCTGATAAAATTATTATGATATACATAAATAAATATATTTTATGTACATAAATATTTCAGTTTTTATATACGCATATCATGTAATTTGTTATGTACATAACAAAAATTTAGTTTTTATATATTTCTCTATTACAAAATTAATATACATACATATCTCAAATAATAATATATTGTAGATATATATAAATATAATTATATAATTTAGATATATAGAATATATTATACATACATATATTGTCATATGATATGAGAATTTTGTTCGTAAATTATTATATACATAATTTTTTTTTTATTTTACGTCAATATAATTATATATACATTTGTATGTAGACAAGTTTGTGTTTATAACAGAATATATTTGATATATATATTTAAATTTAATAGTATATTTATTTTATTTGTATACAATATACATATATAATTATAGCTAAATAAAAATATATTTACCTGATTAAATTTTTTTATATTATAACAAATAAAATATCTTATATATTCACAAATATAATATATTATTATATTTTTTATATACATATTGAATTTACCGCGTATATCACGTGGTATTAAAAATATTAATGCAATTTTTTTAAAGGATGAATTTTTTCCTCTTTATTATGAAGACGCTTCAGTTTTCGCGCGGGAACGCAATTACTACATTCAAAAAGCTTTCAAAAATTGTTCTTCTTTTTTTTTTGTTCTCTATGCTTTTAACGATTTTTTATTATTATTTTTTTTTATATAAAAAAAAAATTGAATTTTTAAAATTGATTTTTTTATTTTGTTTATGTTTGTTTTTTTCATTCTAACTGTCACTTATTGTTCCTTCTTTTTTTCTATTAATTTTTCATCAAAATTTTCTATAATTCTAACTGTATTTAATATTTATTTTATTTTTATTATTTTTTTGTTTTCTTTTTCAAATTATTTTTCTTTCATAAATATTTAATTTGAATCTAGAATTGAATCGAAAACATTTAATTTATTATTGATAGTTTATAGTATTGAAAGAAATGAGTGTAGCTACTTAATAAATTTTAAATTTGTATTTTAAATTCAATGTGAAGTGAAAAACGCGCGCACAATATACGCGCCCGTAAATTATTGACATTTAGAACAGAAAGATAAATGAAAAAAAAAAATAGCAAAATACCAAAAGCAAAAAGAAAAGGAAAATAAGCAAAAAACGAAAAAGGAAAAAAAGCAAAAAAAAAAACTTAAAATTTAACTCTTTTCCCGTTTAATCGTACTGTGAAGGTATTTGAAATTCTTTACAACTAACACTTCTATTATCGTTAAATTTTTATATTAATTTTTATTATTTATTATTGAAATTTTTAAATGCATATTAGCTATTTTATATATTTTTATATTTTATTATATTTCCATATGATAACGGCATAAATTTAATATAAAATTTATTTTGCTTGTTGGTGTTGTTTTTTTTTTTACATTTAATACTTATTTTAATGAATAGAAGAAGCGTCCTAACCATATTAATAAGTTACAGGGACTAAAAACTTTTCTCATTACAAATATATTATATTAAAAAGAAGAAGAAGAAAAAAAAATAATAAAGATTTTTTTTTTCTGTTTTTATCTTTATATCCTATATTAAGCTTTTCTTTTTCTCCTAATATATAATATGTTGTAAACGTCAGAGCGAAAAAAGCTAACTGGAAAATTTTTCCTATAAAATTAATAGCATAAAAGAGGAAATGTATGTAGGTGTTATCATCATAGAGAGAGAAAAAATACAATTAAACGAGTGGAAATTTCATATTATAGTATCTTAGTTAGTGTAAAGAACTTTAAGGTATTCATAAAATTTACATCGTACATGTATGTATGTATGTATCCATAGATATGAAAGCCGGTAAGTATGCTAAAAAAAGTTTTTTTTTTTTTTGTAATTTGCAATTTTGTTAATATTAAGTTACTTTTCAATACGGTTATAAAGTTTACATAAATTTGTAAAAAACGTAAAAAATATTATTTTATTACCAAAATTCGTTGATAATTTTATAGATATTTAAGTAAGTTCGCATTTGAATAATTGTAATCTGAAGTCAATAAATAAAATTACATATATAGTTAACCCTGTTTGAAGTAGAATTGCAAGGAACCGAAGTGTTAGACGTCTTGGACAGGTTTTGTTAAATTAAAAGTAAAACTTTTTTAAATTTTCGACTTCATAATTTGCTACATGAATTAATAGATCGAAGGGTTAATGACATATTTTTTTTAATTCCAAAATATTTTGTTTTAAATAGGTTTAACAAAGGTTCAAAAATCTCTAAAATTGTTTTAAATTTTCTATAAAATTTTTATGGTTTTTACTTTTGACAGTTTTTTTTCGTTTTTTCAATACTAAACACTTTTGCAGGAACTTCAACTTGACGTGCTTCCAGTAATAACAAGTTTTGGCCTCTAAAAGGTTCCGGCGTTTAATAAAATATATAAATTATAGTACATCCAAAATGCCGAAACAAATAAAACAATATTTATGCGAGTTTCCATAAATAAATATCTATATCTATAATATACATACATACATACTGTTGATACTAATTTTACTATTCATACATCTACTAATTTTACCATATCTACTTATTTACTGATTTAGTAATTACATTTCTGTTAAAATTAATATTAAATTTTACTGACATTAACAATTATTCATTTTTAACAAAAGTTAGCAAAAGCATTGCAAAATTTTAAACAATTTCTAAATGAAATACAAAATGTAGAATACCTTAATAAAAAAAAATATTTTAAATACCTAAATGTAGGTAAATGTATGTGTATGCGTATTCTGATAAAACTTATTAAAAGCTTTCACTTGATTTTAATTTTATTTTTTTTTATTGTTTTTTTTTTTTTGCTTTCTCGCATATGTATGCATGTTATTTCTTTAGTATGTAACTTTTTATTTTTCTAATAAAATCGATAGATTTGAATATAAGTACAAGTTAATGAAGGTAAGAAAATGCACACGTTGGAAAGAATTTTTTCTTTTTTTTTTTTCTGATAATATTTTTTGTACTTCGTTAAATTATATTGTATTTACAAACATTCATGCATACATACATACATAATATATGGATTATTGTATTTATATAAAGGATTTTGTATTAAAATATAAATAAAAAGTAGTATGTACGTACATAGTTTTAAAATAAGGATACTAAATTTAAAAATTAATGATAGAATTTAAATTTTTTACATTAAACTTATGTTATTTTTTATATTCTATCTGATACTATGGTTATAGAGTTTTAAATTCAAGTATACCTAACTAAACACTTTGTAAGTTTTTAGTAGTGAGATAATAAATACAATCTAAAAGTTAATTTGTAATATTTAATTTAGAATCAAACTTAAATTGAACTTATTTTTAAGTAAACTAAATAATTTATATAATTAAAATAATATTATAAATAATTTAACTTATTTTTATAAAAGTAAATACTGTGGTATCACTTAAGGATTCAACATTATATGTTAGATTATTTTAGATGTCCCTATTTTCTATACAAAAAAATTATTTTCCAAAATTTTTAGGTATTTTTTTTGAATTTGTGTAGGTGCATCCGTATTACGCATTGTTACAGTCAATAATTTCGATATCCAATAAGACTCCCATTGAAAATTATTATTCCTATAACTAATCTTTTAATTTTGTCTTAAGTTTAATAGAAATAAAAAATTTTGCATGGGTAGGTTATGTATGTAGGTGGCTATCTGTATACATATGCCTATTCGAAGCTTTTAATCATTGAAGTTATTTTCATTCATTGTACATACCTATTCTTATTAAAAAATTTCTCTATAGAATTTTGTGTACTTTTAAAACTTGATTTACTAGGTTTTGAATTATTACAATATGTTGAAGCTCATCACAAGTAGGCTGGTAGCTACCTCCTTCTTTGCTCGTTAATTATTCCAATTAATCTAAAATGAATTTCAAATTTAAATATTGCAAATAACTGGAGAATCTATTTTAAAATAAGAATTTAATTACTTACCAAATGTTCATGGAAAAGTAGCTTTTATTTGTCCAGAATACATTTTCTCTAAGAGTATTTTAGCTACCAGTGTATCTATTTAAACCTTTCTTATAAAAATTATAGTTTTCACAGTAATTTGTATGCAATTATTTAAGTTGAAAAAATGAAACAAACAAATATGTATATACATATGTACATAAATACATACATAAATAAGCGCATCCTTTTTGTTAATATTTCCCGTAGAATTTCCGAAATATTTTTATTGATAAAAACTTTTTACATTTTAGATAAAATCCTAGTCCGTATCATAATTTTCTTAATATACTAGATATACATATTAAATTCGAAAATCAGTTATATAAAAAAAATACATATTTTATCAATTTAATCTGCAATTTGCGAAACGTTAAAATGAAGTTATAAGTTTAAATTTATGTAAATCAACAGAGTAGCCACATTAAATTGTTTAAATCGGCCAAACAAAACCGATTTTCTATGATAAGAAAACCCATAAATATCACAGCATATGGCAATTATATCTTAGAAACGTCAAAGTTTATTGTCAAATAATAATATTTATGAATTGTTTGTCATTGAAATCTCAATAACAAAACCAGCTGTTATTGCAATAATCACACTTGTTTTGAAATCTAAATAAAAGTTTTGTTTCAATTTATTACGCAAATAATGAACAATTTTTGCAATGAGTTTTATATTAAATTTTTTAAGGTCAATAATTGAAAACGTGTTACAGCTGTTGTCATTTGGAAAGAAAAGCATCACTAATACTTTAAGTATCTATATAAAAACGAATACAGGATGTACATTGGCTGTTGATTTAGATCCAAAATGGGATATCAAAAATATAAAACAAATAATAGCACCACAATTAGGATTACAACCATGCGAAGTAAAAATAATATTTGCTGGAAAAGAGCTTTGCGATTCAACAGTTGTAGAGGTAGGACCGAAATTATTTATTATGTAATATAAAAAAAAGTTAACTAACTGTAAAGTGATTTAATTTAGGAGTGTGACTTAGGTCAACGCAGCATCATACATGCTATTAAAACTCGCCGTATATCTGATAACTTTTCAAAAAATATTATTTCCGATTCAAACGATGAAGTGAATTTCTATGACGATCATGAACATTGTTCAAAACCTTTGTGTGAAACTCTAGTTGATTTACAACTTGAAAAGGAAGACAGATTAAATATATTACCTGAAGGTAAAATAATATTTTCTTATTTTTATTACATTAAATTACTTATTTTTTATAGAACGAGAAAAGAAGAGGGCTCATTTTTTTGTGTATTGCGTTAAATGTAAGAAATTGTGTATTGGTAAATTACGAGTACGCTGTTCTAAATGCAAAGGCGGAGCTTTTACTGTACATAGAGATCCTGAGTGTTGGGAGGATGTTTTAAAACCCAGAAAAATACGTGGACATTGCGAAAGTAACGATGAAGTGGTTTGCGTTGTAAGGAATTGAGTAGTTAGTCTTAAAATGTATTCTGTTACACAAAAATCATTTCAGGATAACGAACAGGGAGATCCACCTTTTGCCGAATTTTATTTTAAATGTGCAGAACATACTTCAGAGGGGGAAAAAGATTACGCAATACCATTGAATTTAGTAAAACACAATATTAAAGGAGTTCCTTGTTTAGCCTGTACGGATGTGAGGTATATAAACATAAAAAAATTCTATTAAATTGAAATTTTTAATTACGAAAATTTTAGCGAAAATGTTTTAGTTTTCCCGTGCAAAGAGAGACATGTTACATGCCTTGAATGTTTTCGAAATTATTGCTTATCAAGACTTATGGAGAGGCAATATGTTTCTAATCCAGATATAGGTTATACTTTACCTTGTCCTGCTGGATGCGAAGAATCATTTATAGAAGAAATACATCATTTTAACTTATTAGCTAGTGATGAATATGAGAGATATTTAAGATTTGCAACTGAGGAGTATGTACTTCAAGCGGGTGGAGTTTTATGTCCTCAACCAGGCTGTGGAATGGGCTTAATTACTGAAGCTGATTGTCTTAAAGTAACATGTCAACATGGATGTAATGTATGTAGTGAATTGTTTTTTATATTAAAATTATATTGTTTGATTCCTTGCTTAAATTTATATTTTAGTATGTGTTTTGTAAAAATTGCCTTCAAGGATATCACATAGGGGAATGTTTGCAAGATAATAGTCTATCAACAGATTTAGGTTCTTGTGATTATGTTATTGACCCAAGCGTAAGGAAGCTTTTGATATCATTTTCTCTCTCTCTCATAGCTTTGAAAAAATATTTTTATTGCAGAAAGCTGCAGAAGCTCGTTGGGAGGAAGCAAATAAGGTTATAATAAAAACATCTACAAAGCCCTGTCCTAAATGTAGAACACCTACAGAGAGAGACGGTATTCATTATGAATAAGTAGTTTTTTTGTACTAAAACTTTCATTTTAGGCGGGTGCATGCATATGGTATGTACAAGAAGTGGATGTGGATTTGAATGGTGTTGGATTTGCCAAACTGGATGGACAAGAGACTGTATGGGAGCACATTGGTTTGGATAAAATTTTGTAATGAACACACTGCACTGTCTACTTAAAAAAACCATATAGTCTGACAAATTTTACGCTTCTTCAATAATGTACTCACGAAAAATATCTTTTAAGCATAAGAAATATTTTTAATGTAAATATAACTGTTGAAATGTATAATTAATTGTATCTGAATTAAGTGTCCTACTACCGTTTCAGTCGTCCAATAAATTAGTACATATTTACAAAAAAAGTGAAGGGAGATATTGTTATAGAGCATTAACTTAAGTGAAATAAATTATTAAACTGTAAATGAAAAAAAATGAAGTTTTTGTTTCCTTAAATTTTACTCCTTGAAAATTTCAATTTTATTTTCAACATTCTATATCCTATAGGTTATGAACTTTAAAATTGAATTAAGCTAATAAGTCATTTTTGGAATATTGGTACTTTTAATACTTAATATTTTAGAAAAATAAAAAAACAAATTCTATACATGTAGGTATAAATAGATTCGAAGTGTAAATATACTTTTGCATAATAATTTAAGGATTATTAAAATAAAATTTGATACTTATATTGTTTTGGAACTTTCGAAATTATCATTCTGCCGTCATAACTCAAGGAGGCAAATATCCAAGGATCTACACTGCTCCATTCAGCACAATAGACCGAATCTTCATGCTGATCAAATGTTTGTAACAGTCCATCTGGCATAACTTTTTTTGTTTCATTTTGTTCTAAATTGATATCTCTTTGCAATAAGCTTTCATCAATATTATCTTGAGTTTCTGAGCTTACACTTCCAGCACAAGTTAATAAAACTTTTCCATCACTGCTGCTCGTTAATAAAAGTTGATCGTGGAAAGTGTTAAACCTTACACTCCATATCCAATGATAATGATCATTTCTAAAGAATATGGGTTCTTTCGTCATTCGAGTATCCCATATTTTTATATAACCATCATCTCCTGCTGTCGCGAGATGGCAAGATTTGTTTGGATTACTGTCTAAATCTCGCACTAATGTTCCATGTGCTTCTTCTATTGACCAGGCACAATGATTAGTATCCCGAATATCAAAAGATTTAACACTACACTCATGTAATGTTATGAATTGATTTCCTTGGTGGTGTTGTGACCATTTTCCAGTAGTAAATTTCTGTGCATGTTTATTAGCATTTATTTCCGCAGCTATTCTGGTTTTGCTCTCAGATCTATTATATATTATAATTTTTCCATCAATAACACTGGCTATAATTTGTTCATCTGATGGATGAAATTCTGTATTTTTAATTTCATTTCCGTAATCCTGAAAAAATACGGATGAAATCTTAAAATATGATTAAGGTCTTTTCATTTTATCACTTACAGCTGACGGTAGAATTTCAACGTTATGAAAATTGAGAAATTCATCTTGATCAGGCTTTTTTTGTAAGTCTTCCGGCAAATCTAAAATAGCAGTCTGACTGAGAACTTGCCCGTTTTTAATAGAACTAAAACATGTTGCGATTCTTCTGCTATTATGCGGACTACTGTTTAATTTCCAGATTTCGCCAAGTGGATGTGAAAAAATCTTATGACAGATTTACAAAAGTTTTATTATTATGTACTTATGTAATTAATTTAATTATTACCACTGCTTTTAATGATTGCTTCTCTTCATTGTATTCAATTAGATGGATTTGATTATTTGGTTTAAGGGAATGCGTAGCTATAAAAAATCTTATTTCATTACTTTCAGCTAGTTGTGGTGTCATAGCTCTAGCCTGAAATTTATTGTTATGTATACTTATTTACTTTATATTTGTAATTAACAATGTTTTATTTGTACCTGTAGTTCCAAACCGTATATTAACGAGCTGTTTTCATCCATTATTGAACTTAAAGCGGAAAAATATTTTCGTAAAACTTAAAATTATGATTTAAATTATTTTATTCTAATCAACAAAACCTAAATATTTACAATTAGAAATTTGTAATCATTTATTCAAAATTGTTGATGAAAATAAAATCTATTGTATACTTCATTTATTTTTGCTTTGTTGTTCTTTTTAATTTTGACACTTTGTTGCGTGTTTGTGAACTAAAAATAACAATTTTTTCAGGGATGCTGACTTCCTTTTCGATTTGGAAAAATTCACAGTAGATCTTGATTTCAGATTGATATTTATAGCGTACAATTTCTACCAGAAAAAATACTGAATGAAATCTCAACCACAGAAATCAAGAAAATTGCTGTAAATTATAATGATCAATTGATAAAAACACAATTTGAGTAAATTTGAATTCAGCCTTTTTAAACCATGTAAGTACAAAATTGTTTTGATTTCATATTTTGTACAAATTTTTAAACTTTTACAGTTCAATATTGTAATAAAATATTAATTTTTTTATATTAAACCTTTTTCAATAAGTAATACATATATAATTTTTTAAGCAAAATTGTTTCAAATGACAAAACTAAATTTACATGCTAATATTAACTTAATGTCAACTGATATAACATATTCACTATGAAGGCGCTCCATTTTTTGACATTTGATTAGAAAACAAAAAATTATCAAAAAAACAGCGCTTAATAATAGAGTCGATAGTTGAACGACTTTGATTCAAGTTCATGAACCAAAAGTTTCATTTCATATCATATCAAGGAATCATATTTTGTATTCAGCTGTATCTACTACATATATTATTTAAAGAAGGCTGACTTCAATATTGCAGTGCCACAATGTTTACGAGCAATGCAGCTTACAATATTATGTTTACTGAAATATAGTATAGTTTTACAGTATTAGGGAAATTTTAAAGTGATGGGTTGTAATACATATTAGAACTTATTCTATTATCGAAATTGTGTTACATATGTAAATAATTTTAATTTAATATTAGATAAAAAAAGTTTGCATTAAAAAATCACCTCAATCCAGGATACTAAATGCAGTATGTAAATTTTTATTTGTTTACATATACACACATACATAACATTTTGTACATTTATGTATTATATTTTTTTTATGATAATTAACACTTTTTAATTATGCAAATGAATATTATTATGTAGTTTGCATTTAATTTGTAGAAAATTATGTATATAATTAAATTATTTAGGTCTAGGTAAATTACAAGTTAATGACATTTTTAATGAGATTTATATGCAATTTGTTACTTACTTAAACAGGGAAGCTATATATGTACATACATGTATACGTATATATAAAAAATTAAATTACAAAATATAGATACCTTTAATATATATTTACTTATGGATTTAATTATGTTAGTATGGTGTTTTAATTAATTTAAAATTTATGAAAAATAAGTACATGTACACCATTTTATTTGTAGAAAAACATGAAATGAAATTCGAGAATATTATTACTATTTCATTGTGCTAATTTTAATGAAAGAGTACTTTTTAAGCAAAGTTGTAAAAAAAAAATGTGGAACATTGAAATCTAAATTTTTATTTTGATATTACTATGTGCATTATTTAAAATAAATTATTTAAAATATTGGTTTGCATGGAAAAATTTTAAATTAAACTTATCATTTTTCAAAATAAAATCATAGAATTCTGAATAAATTTATACGTTTTTATGTAAAGATAACTACGAAAAACATTTTAAATTATTAAAAATTTGAGCCTTTTTTGATATATTTTAAAACATTTTACATAAAATACCGCTTTATGTATTGCGAGAATATTGTGAACTAAATTTAAAGTAAATAACTTCCGGGATTTCAAAAATGCAGTAAAAAGGTTATGTTGCTGCAGGTATTTTCAATATAACTTGTAATTGCCAAATTGTGTAGCACTGTTGTATACAATTTTTATGTTATATGGCTCACAATAATTTTAATGCTATATGGCCTACCTGTTAATAGAAACTCATATATGATTCTCATTTATATATGTTTCCACTTATTTAAATTACGTTATTAATACATCTACATAAGTCAGCAATTACAGTTCATAAGCTGAATTGTGTTTTTGTACTAATATTAAAGTCAAAGCTTATTTAATTATATGATTAACGAAATTAATAAATCAGGTCTCATTATTTAATTGTTAAATAGAAAAAGGAAAAAAATTGCCTTACTTGAATTCACAAATTAAAAAGTAAGAATAAAAAATTATTTATATGTGTAAAAATAAAAGATCCTTCATAATGCTTCACCCAAATTCATTGTATAATATTTTACTCGTATGTCGTATGCCTATATGTTACGGGTATCTGAATTATACATTGTATTATACCAGTAATTTTATAAAATCTAATGTGCAAGAATCATGCTAGGTAATAAATTAAAATTGATTGTTTTCAAATACAAAACAGAAAAAAAAAATTTATACTTTACCCATATAATATGAACATCAATTCTGTGCAACACACCCATATATCATTTGCATAAATCTTATAGGTTTATGAACATACGTATACAGAAACAAAATATCGCATAGCTTGTGTGTTTTGTTGAGTATTCGATCAACTCTTCATCTTTTGCGTTACCTAAACTTTTCATACATAATATTATAAAGGTAAATAAAATCTATAAGCAATTTTATACTGTGTGTAAGTGAATGGATTTGCAAACGGTCAAAAATATTGAATAAAAATTTTTTTGATATTTTATCATATTTAACGAACATACCAACAAACATGTACCATTATACTAGTATTGCTTATGGGAATTTTACAGATGATAAAAACGTTTTATTTTTTGTTCTACTTATTCTAGTGAAATGAAAAACTGATTTTCTGTCGGTAAATAGAATTTTTGATAGAGAATATTTTAAACATTTTACGCCTTCTCTAAAAAAAAAAAAACAAAATTAATATTGGATTAAGAAAATTTATGTTTGGGTTAGCAAATTGAATTTTTTTTTTCTATTAAAAGCATTTCCTTTTTCACTTCTTGTGTTTTTTCTCGATATTTTTTCATAAATTCTAATCATTTGGTTCAAAACTTTATTTAATATTATTTTTTTTATAGATTCACATATGTATATATATAAAATTTTGCTATCGGAAGAGTAAAAATCATTATACAGTAGAAATCGTTTTAGCATACACGCAAGGGGACAGAAAAAATTAACGATATGCCCGATTTTCATTGAAACTGGTATACTAATGAAAAATATACATAAAAAACTAGATGTCGCTCAAGCAAAAGTATTCGTTGTAATCAATTTTATTTCCACTTTAACACAGTGTTGCTGAAGTAAAAACCATCGCCATAATCGATTTTTTGTTACAATCGATTTCCATATAAGCAATTTTTTTCTATTCATTTCATATATTAACCATATAGTTTTTGTGTGCATTAATCGATATTTCGTTATAACCGATTTTTACTGTATTTTTATTTTGTTCGCTTTGTTTTGTTATTGAATCAACCTGCATTAATTTGTGTACCATGCAAATGGTTTTTGTTTTAAACTAAATTTGGCTCCTTTTGCTGAATGAACATTTAAATTTATTAACTGTTATTATAAATTCATATATGAAATTTCCAAAGATATTTAGAATTTATGGCATAAAAGATATTATTTTGTTGATTATATTGGGATTTTCTTAGTTTTGTATAAGAAGTCTAGGTTTTTCCAATTAAAATGTTGAATTTTTATTATGAAAAAGGAATTTTTTAAAGTAAAATTTGTAAGAGAATTAAGATTTAGACAACAAATTTCGAAAAAAAAAAAACACAACTTAGTTATATACTCTGACAAAGAAAATTTAATGATAGTAAGTCATGTAATTTTAAATTTAATTGGAAGAGTTTAAAAATTTCTTCCACATTGGGTTTTAGTTCATAAAATATTTTAATATTCAATGTTCTTCATTTTTAAATTATAAGGTTACCACAAAATGCGATCAATATTTACAATATTATAAAAATTGAGTTTGCTCCAATAGTTTTCTTATTTTACACCCTATTCATATAGTGAATGCATTCATAATTATGACTGTTATTATAATAGCAAGTTGAAAAAATCAAAATTTATAATATTATTGTTAAATTTAGAATGATTCATAAAAATTTAATTTACATGGAAAATGAGCTCTTATGAATTGTGAATTAATGGTAAAATATAACAAATCTCACCTTTTTTGAAAAGAGAAACTTCAAATAATTTTCTTCACAATTTTTATCATTAAGTACTATGGAAAATTTTAAATAACAAATGTTATTTAAAAATTAATTAAAAATTCACTGTAATGCTTTTCATTTGTATTAAGTCCAATTTTTAAAATATTTATGTGTACATCAATAATAATATTAATTATTAATGACTTTCAGTTAACCTTCATTAACATTTTTTTCGAATTTTTCTTTCATTTTATTATAGAATCAAATCTAATGTAAAATAAAAAAAAGAAGAAAAAAAATATAATTAAAATTTTATATCATCCAAACTTTTTCATTAACTCAATTATACTTACATATACATACCTACACATTGTACATAAAAGTTATAAAAATTCCATGTTATGTTGCATTTTAGCCCGCATCATAAATAGTTTTTAGTTTTGATATACATTCATCTGTAATTAATTAGAAATTAATCAATATCCTCGGGAATATTTTATGTTATTCTTTAATCAAAATAACTGAGTAGTGTACATTTATAAAATAATATTAAAAAAAAATATATAAGAAAAACGGAAAACAAGTACAAGAAAATATCCCGTGGTGGTAATGATTTTCTGTTTATGTAATTGTAAATGAAAAAAATTCACGTATCTATCATGTCAGTTCCTTTACATGACATTGAATGGAATTCAACTTTTATTATCGAGTATATAATGAGTCTACGTCATAACAATGAATGTAGTCCTATTACAGTTTCTTAAGAAGGTTTCAGAAAATTAAATTACAAAATTTTTTGACATTGTATATAAAATAATTTGTGTATTGTATGAATTCTTGTATGGAATGATTAAAATGGTGGGATTCAAATGGCGTTAGTGTTGCTATTATATTAAAATTTCGTGTAACTGAAGTTGTACTAACTTTAAAAGTTGTTT